CTCAGACTAGCTTTGTTCAAGTGTTTATTGGTGTAAGTTGAGTCCTCAGACTAGCTTTGTTCAAGTGTTTATTGGTGTAAGTTGAGTCCTCAGACTAGCTTTGTTCAAGTGTTTATGGGTGTAAGTTGAGTCCTCAGACTAGCTTTGTTCAAGTGTTTATTGGTGTAATTTGAGTCCTCAGACTAGCTTTGTTCAAGTGTTTATTGATGTAAGTTAAGTCCTCTGACTAGCTTTGTTCAAGTGTTTATTGGTGTAATTTGAGTCCTTAGACTAGCTTTGTTCAAGTGTTTATTGGTGTAAGTTGAGTCCTCAGACTAGCTTTGTTCAAGTGTTTATTGGTGTAAGTTGAGTCCTCAGACTAGCTTTGTTCAAGTGTTTAATGGTGTAAGTTGAGTCCTCAGACTAGCTTTGTTCAAGTGTTTATTGGTGTAAGTTGAGTCCTCAGACTAGCTTTGTTCAAGTGTTTATTGGTGTAAGTTGAGTCCTCAGACTAGCTTTGTTCAAGTGACTTACAGTTGGAAGAAATATCAGCCTTAAAATGCTAATTTTTGACTACTTTTTGTAATATGGGCATGTTGACATATAATTATCCATCATGGTTCAGCAAATTTTGGAAAAGAGGTCTCCCACACTGCTTAATAGAAGTCAAATATCATTTGAGTTGCACATGGGGCAATAGGAGTATGATACAAGACAGACTTTGTTACTCATTTTCTTCAGTCTAATAATTATATAAAATTTATATTTGCCTGTAATGAAAGTGGTACCATTTGTTTATCTTTTAAAAAGTTTTCAAGTATTATAAGATTATATCTGATAAATGATAATTATAGGATGGTAGTGTAACATGTGAAGAAGAGAGATGTTTAAGTCTACCATGTGTTATGACAGAAACTCTACCAGGATCTTGTTGTCCTGTCTGTAAAGGTAGATTAATTTATTATAATCAGTTTATGATACATGTATATCAAATATCATCTTTTGGGGCATTGCATTGCACATGCAAATTTACAGTATTCTAAGGGTTGACAGTTTTTCAAGGTTAGCACTAATGTCAAAATTACTCAGGCTTCAGCTCACAATGTTATACTCTTACCTATTATGTTATATTGAATAATCTTATTAGATATGAATGAATTTTGTTTTGTCAATTCCTCTAGGATGTACATATAAAGGTGTACAATATAATACTGGTACAACATGGATATTACCAGATAATCCATGTGTATCATGTACATGTCATGGTGGATTAGTAACTTGTATGGAATTAGAATGTTATGTACCATGTAATAATCCTATAACTCTACCTGGACAATGCTGTCCTGTTTGTCCTAGTAAGTTTATACATTATTTCTATCATGTCAGAAGGTGAGTTAAAGCTAAATTGGTCTTAAAGAGATATACATTTTGTATTCATTAAATTCCTTACTTCAACAACAGAATTTTAGTTCTAGCTACTGTTTAGAAAAAATCTGTTTATCTGCTTACTGAAAAGTCATTTTTTTTAGACACAGGTCACATTACGATTCTGTATTTATAACATTTAAAATTCATCACCTCATTTGTTAAAGTTTAATATCTTGATATCACTATTCCAGCCTGTGTATATAATGGTAAGACATATAATAATGGAGATAGTTTTAGTCCTAATGGTGATCCTTGTGATACATGTACTTGCCAGGTAGACATTTTGAATTTTTCATAGATATTCACATGGCACATTGCAATCGCGAAGATTAGTTTCTTTCGTATAAGTGCCAGGAATTTGTATGTGATAGAAATATATCATTTTAATGTGAATAGTCATGAAGTAGACTAATATTAATGAACATTGGTCATTTCTTCTGTTGTCTTTTTCCCTGTATTGTATATTAATATTGATGTGATTATTTTGCAGGGAGGCAATTTACAATGTAACCATGAATCCTGTCCTAACATAGCTAACTGTCCTCCTGAACAACTTGTACCTTCACAGACAGGAGAGTGCTGTCCAACTTGTGCTGGATGTAAGTATATTTTACATACATAATGGTATCAAAGATTAAAAAACTTAGTCACAATTTTTAATTAATCTATCCTCTTTGCAGTGATGTTAAGTAGATGACAAGCTAATATTCACCCTTAGCTAAAACAGATATTGCAGACTGTAGCTCTGAAACATCTTTTTACAAAAGAAATTTATAGTTGATGTCATTTCTAGAATTTGATCTGTGAATTCAAGTTAATGTTGTATTTTGTGCTGATTTATGATAATTACTATGTTTTCCAGTTGGAACTAATTGTACCAGTAGTGATCTAGGAATGAGGATAAATAAAACCTAGAACAGAGGATCCATGTTTTTATTGTGAATGTGCTAATGATTTCAACTGGATTTGTACTAAAGATGAATGTCCACCATTGCATTGTCCACCAAATGTCCAGTTACATCTGCCAGCCCAATGTTGTCCAGTTTGTCCAGGTAATAAACTATTTACAACTCCTGTGTATAAAAAGTAGAAATGTATTTTGAGGTTAAAGGGGTATTCTTGGTATACTGTATAATATTTATGTACTGACTATTTTCAGCATGTTTTGATAGTAAACAAGGTAGATATTATAATGGTGGTGAAAGTTGGATACCAGAAAACAAACCTTGTGAATCTTGTCAATGTTTGGTAGGTTGTTTGTTATCATGTCATTACATGTATATGTTTTTTTCCAACAGAAAGTAGATTAGGAAGTCAGAAAATTAATTATGATGGTCAACAAACTGTTCAGACCTAAAGATGTGCACATATCCAAAGTATTTACCACACTGGCAAAATTTCTGTCATTGCACACTTCTAAGCATGGCCATTTTCATTCGCCAAGGTGCAGATATGTAGGAGATAAAACAACTGTTACATTACATTTCATGTTGAGATCACATTTTTATTGTTGCTTTTAGGACAATTTGATCCAGTGTAGAACATTAGAATGTGCACCTATTGTTTGTGGTGTTAATGAACAGTTAATTAATTTACCTGGTACATGTTGTTCTGTTTGTCAACCATTAGAAATCAAACAATGTTATTATCTTGGTCGTCAATATCAGGTAATTTATTTGTCTATTTTTTTAATTTTGAGCTATTGATGGCTACACGTTCTGAGACATCTTGTTAACTCAATGTCTTTATGTAAAATTGGAATATCATCATGACTTGTTAGAAAAAATGAGCCCATTTCATAATCTTTTTTTTACAGAGGGCAATTTTTAGCTTGAATGTGGCATCTATACAAAACTTTATATCTGGATCATTTTAAAGTCATTATAAGACTCCTCTATATTATTTTAGAAACTTCACATGAAAATAATAAAGTTCAATTTACCAAAATGTATGAAGCTTTTTGTTCATTGTATACCTTCAATTATAAAGTAATGGATGGATCACCTAACTCTGGGTTCTCTAGTTCTCCAGTAGTGTAGTATTACTAGCAATGTTATTTTAAGTATCTGTAAAGCATTATCATTTATTATATTTGGCAACTGTAGGCTGGTGAAGAATGGAATGTAGATGAATGTACTAAATGTCAATGTTTAGGTGGGGAAGTTAATTGTAATAGTATAATCTGTAAACCAACTAATTGTAAAGCTAATGAAGTACCATCTTTAAAACCAGGAACTTGCTGTCCTGTTTGTGAACAACGTAAGTCAATTCCCCTACTTTATTAGCATTGAAATTCTTTCATACACTCATAATCTACAACAAAATATTACTAGACTTGTGTGTTAAAAGTTAAATTTTTATGAATATATTTTCCAGAGCCTGGTAGTTGTTTAGTATTCGGTGATCCTCATTACAGAACATTTGATGGTACCACGCTACATTTCCAGGGACAATGTAAATATATCATGGCTGCTGACTGTGAAACAGATACATTTAGGTAATTGAAGGGAACCTATATGTTGTAGATAAGCAAATACATGAAGTAGAACTGGAAATGGAGCGAATATTTGACCTTTTTTGGCAAACACTGTAATATATATTTGACCTTTTACCAATAAGAAAATTTAGGTCAGATTAAAAAATATGAAATGAAATGAATGGAGTTTTACATCCTACTCTTTTGCACCTAATTGGGCTAATGAAGACGGGAATCACCTTCAGTGTGCACTGAGGGAAAGTTTGCCATGACAGAAGCAGTTCCTTACTCTTAACTGTCGGCGATCTTTAAAAAGCGGGTCAAAAAAACCAAAAGTATTATCTCAACCTATGCCGGGATTGGACCTTGAGGTTAGAGAGCAAGTGTCTAACTCACTGAGTCAACGCAGCTTTAAAAAATAGAGTGTTGGCATACAAAAAATCACAAGAAATAGCAAACCTGATATTAATCTTGTATCAATTTATGTCAAATTTCAGTGTGGAGGTACAACATGATAATAGAGATGTCTATGGTGATGTTTCATGGGCTCAAAATTTTACAGTTCAAGTTTCTGGTTTTACTGTAGATTTATTACAGAAACATGCTGTACAGGTGAGTTAGGCCATAATGGAAGTGATTGCTTATCACATAATGAATAGTAACAAAGAAGTACTCATATTGGTGATGAAAAAAATGTAATATCCTCAAATCCATCAAATTTTCCAATGATATTTGCAGGTAAATGGTGAAAGAGTTAGTCTGCCCTATTTAAAGGAACCTTATATACAGATAGAGTTAAGTGGTAATACAGTATTATTGAATACTAATATAGGACTCAAGGTGAGTTATTTTATAATTACAATGGTAACAAGGTTGTCAATGTATTTAATTACAGCTAAAAAGTGATATTGAAACATTAAAACAGGTTCAGAAGTGTTTTTTATAAGAGGAGAAGAAAAGATTCAAAGATGTGTGATATTTTATGAGGTTGTGCAAATTATTGCTACTACACTGGCAAAATGTACTCTTTTTCATGAAGCATAGGAGACATAGCTCTTATTTCATTACATCTGATATTGTTATAATTTTAATTCATCCTGTGATACAGATAACATGGAATGGTGATAGTTATGCTGAAGTTAGTATACCTGGCACCTATAAAAGAAAACTTTGTGGTTTATGTGGTAATTTTAATGGTTTTCCACAAGATGATTTAAGAACTAGATTAGGACAAATAACTAATTCACCTGCATTGTTTGGTAATAGCTGGAAGGTGAGAATCAAACTAGATTATTGTTTTAAAAGGCATTAGCAGAAACTTTGGATGAGGAGATAATAGACATAAAAAGAGTTTTTTTTATATATAAATTAAATTGGCAAAGTCACAGAGAAATAAATAAAACCTATGTTAAATATTATTTCCTAGGCTAAAACACAATATAAAGATTCGTGTAAGGATGCTAAAGATATAGATCCTTGTATTAAAGCTGGATATAGAGTCAGGAAGGTAGCTACCACCAGATGTGCTGTTATAAAGGTTTGTAATACTAAGTTCTTTTCTTCTCCTAAGGTAAAGATTAATATTGGGTAACTTTTTAGTAATTCATGGGAACAATTTAATATTCAGTGATTATTTAAGTTTGGTTAAGTAATTATTATAAATGATTGTGTCTATTTTGTGATTTTAGAGTAATGTGTTCTCAAGATGTCACAGAGCCATATCACCAGAACCATTCTTTGCTTCCTGTGTATATGATATGTGTGTTTGTATGGATAATCCAGACTGCCTATGTGATATACTATCATCTTATGCACATGTTTGTGCTAAGGCTGGAGTCAAAGTTCAATGGAGAACCAATAATTTATGTGGTAATGTGCATTTACTTATTTAAACCATCCAAAACTCATCCACCACTGTAAACTTGCTAGTCCCAATTCAGCTTTTCAGCTGCTTGTATTTGATCAATTAGTATGGTCCCAAAAATATCATACAATATTTTTATATACAAAATTTATTTAATCACAGGGAACTTATTTGTTGTAATTGTGAATTTAAAGAAGTTTTATGTTACTTTCTCTTTCAGCCTTTGATTGTCCTGCTAACAGTGGGTTAGTTTTTGATGATTGTGGTCCAGCTTGCCCCAGAACTTGTGAGAATATGAATACACCATTAGGAAATGTTAGTGAAAATTGTTTTAAACCCTGTGTAGCAAGTTGTCAATGTGCTGCCAACCAAGTTTTAAATAATGGTAGATGTATCGACCCAAAAGATTGTCCAAAAATAAACACTAAATAGTCTGTATGTTTTTATAATTCTACCAGTGCCAAATTAATATTTTTATATCCTCCTACTGATGTTATTTTAATTGTTGTGCCAGAACGTAATTGTGCTTAGTCTACCTCATTATCATTTTAACATCATGATTGGTGCATCTGAAGTTTGTTATTGTCCAATACAAGAATACTCTTAGACGTCACTAGTGATCTAATAACAAGGTTGTGTTTTAGTATTATATTCATTATACTTTATATTTAGTGACGAGAACTCTACTAGGTTTTATATATTGTAATCTGTTGTAAGCTCATTTTGTATTTTTATACTATGTAATCAATTTATTCAATAAAATGTACCCAATAGTACCCTTCTAAGAGTTCTAATTAGAAGACCAGTTTCTGCGTTCGAGTCTTCAGTATATAATTTTGTATGATGTGATGGGTTCGGTTCTTATCTGAGTTTGCAAGTGAAATACATATTTGGCTAACTTCTAGTTGATGTTGCTGTAAATGAATATTGGAAATATATCACATGAAAGAGCATTTCCAAATGGTTTGCACAGTCTTGTCAAAGTATCCAAATGCTAACTACCAGGTACCAGTTAGTTTCTGCCCTCGCTTTAATAAACAGCTCTTTAAAACATAACATGATTTTATTTGATTGTAACAACATTTAGTAGATCTTCATTAACAAATATTGATTATATTTTACTTCTTTTTACAATTTCAAAAACCAACCTGTACATTTCAAAATAGTGAAAAGTTCTCTTTTTATTTTTTTATCAGGTGATAAGGCCAAATTTCAGCTGTGAAACACTTTTCAAAATTAAATTCTGACACTATTGATCAAAATTGTCCAGAGGAAGTTTAAATTAATACATTTGTGGAAATGAGTATAAACTAGACAACTGCAATATTTCTTAAAAATTGAACATGTAATAATAAACATTTGTAACCAATAATTTAATTTATTATTAGGTATATTGAGTAGGTCAGAATAATTTGTTACTTTTTATTTTACCCTTTTTTTTCAGTTTTTATTTTACTTGTGCTTTAAAACTTGTATTTTATCTACAAAAATAAGACACCATATTTTTAAGCTTAAAACAATGTGACTAGATTTTTACAAAACTAAACATTTTACAAATTAAAAACAAATTATAGACAGTTCAACAATAAAATAAATATAAATAACAACAGTTTAGTTCTTTAATGTGTTGTTTTATAATAAAGCTTTAATTTGTTTACTTTAGACCAGATGATGTGCAATACTTCAATTACTAAGTAAATCAAATTTCAATACTACTGCAAAAATTATAACATACATAGCCTTAAATTACTTCAAAATTGTTGTGCCATTTATACATATGAATAAAATGATTTAGAAATACTGGCAAATTAAAAAAAGATCATTAAGATCATCATCACCCATTCCCAACAAATATAAAAGCACTAGTGAGCAAACAAAATATAATAGATATCTAATATACTTAAAATGTAACTAGCCAATGATTCACTATACTCACTCAATCTCTACATAAAGATGAGTTACTAACTACTAGTTCTATATCTGATATCGCAGTAATCATGCACCACACTTGATTTTATTTTTGGAACATTACAAATAAATAACCCTAATACTTCATTGAGCATTCGTAATTCAATTCAAGGTTAAAGATTACACAATATCTTTGAATACCCTCAATAAACCAACCATGAACCCATCTTTTATTAAAATTCTAGAGTACAAGTTCATGTTCAAAACTCCAAGAATTCTACACAAGCAGTGGCAAAACTCTTACTGAACCTGAATATACGTAGATATTTAGATTGAACTATCATTTACATGTTAACACTTCATTTGCTAACTATCCTATATACCTGATAAAATAATCATACACTATCTAACAATATAGTACATTTAATATTGGACCAGCCAATAACATTAAAAATCATTCTATAGACCACAAGGGAACGATTTCAATATCATTTTTGGTTCTCTATGAGTCACAGGTTTCAACTATTTGATTCTAATTCATGATAAATAAACACTCAACAACAATAGGAAAATGATAATCAGTAAAAAATCTATTCTAAGGAAATCAGTTAGATTTTGGAAGAAATAACAATATCATAATATGATAGCAAAAAATTTGAGTGAGATATTTAAATGAAAAAATAATTTCTCTGATTATCACATGATATTAATAACAACCTTGAGTATAATTTTATCTTCACATATGCATTATATTTTATGCTCAAATGAGCTAAAGTTGGATGATGATGAATCCCTCACATAAACTGAGCAGTAAATCACATTATGATCACCTTACGCTGAACATGTCATTTAACTTTTAACAAGTAGAAATGTGAGAATGGTCATCAAAAAGATTTCTGATGTTTTAGGTATTATTTCAAAATCAAGGCTAGAATTTCCAGATTTTACAAGTCAAAAAGACCTTTTGAATAATTTATTCAATATTTTCAATTATTTCAGTTATATGTTATCCAACTTGCAATACTCTGAAGCACCATTCTCAGATATATTCCACATTAATTTCAAACAGCATCAAATAATTGCCACATTTTGTGGGCCATTTTTTTCAATGTTAAATTTATGAGTCTGAGCCATTTTCTTTAATTTAACATCTAATCAAATAAAAAATTTGTGTAGCTTAATATGAATTGAATTATATTATATATTTAAACCCTGTAAAACAGAGGATTCTAGAACAATATTAAACTCATTCAATGTTTCAATAATATGAACAAGAAATTTAGTTAACCTTGGATCACGTAAAAATGAATTAGCCTCATACATCTGACCTGTTACTGGGGTATTTACCATTAATGGTAACCATTTCTGTAAACAATGATCTCTGAAAACAAACAATCATAAGTAATACTTAATGAACCAATGTCATACAATTCCATCAGTAAAGATAGTGGACCACAGCCATATATGCCCACCACGGCATGCAGATGGTAAATATTCAAGATTTTGGAGCAAGGGCAATAACTCTGCTTCTAACGGTCGAAAATAGCTCAAATTCGAACTTAATCCTCGTTTTATGAATATGTATACACATACCAAACTACCAAATCTTGTTTTTAGAGCATTCACAAGCAAATGTTGACGGACGGAACAACGGACAGTGGTGCCAACAATATACGTCCACATAGAGAGAGGTGGGCGTATAAAAAGTCCTATATCATATTTGTCCAGTTAACACTATAATATGTATCATGGAAGTCAGTCTATGGACAAGATCCTTCACTATACTTTTATTTGAATGTATTTTAATGAAGAATGAAGTAATTTATAAATATAACTTACCTAACACCAACACAAATAAATATTTGAAATTTTCCATCTTTACCAATGGATTCTGTGGCATTGTTGATTTTATTGAGTAGATTACAGAATAACCAATAGCCAGCTCTAGCTACTTCTGTTAATGGACGTCTAGTTACACCACTTAATGTATTCTCAAAATATATCCTTACTTTCTCTGTAAAATTTTATATGTATTCAAAAAGAGTCCTAAAAGATTGATTTAACAACAATTTGCAACATATTGTAGTATCAATGATGTAAAAAAAAACTTACCAAGATAATCCCAAATAAACATTTTATTTCTAAACAAACGAGATGAACGGAAACCATATTGAAAAACTAAATCCATACAATGTACCAAACCACGATCACCACATAACAGGAATGTAAGACTTCCTCTCTGAGAGAAAAAAAATTGTAGCAGTAAGAGAGCTGAATGTCAAATTATATTTCTGAAAAGGGATATGGATGGCTGAAATTTAGCTGTATCAGAAAAATGTTGACAACTGTATCCCTGTTAAATATAAAACACTAGCTTCAGGCACACAGCTTAATATGATTTACATGATAAGTTGGTTTCAGGAAAAATATTAGCTCACCTCTTTCGCTGGTTTATAAAAATGTTTGACTAGATTATTGACTGAATGACCCAACATTTCTTGTATAGCTGGTGTATTTAAAGTACCTAGAAAAATATTACAAAATATCACAACCAACAGAATTTCAGTAGGTTAGCAATTATAGTTTAAAATACATATGATATATAGCTATAGACAAATGTTAAAATCTATGTTAAAGTCTGACCCACCTTTTCCTCCAAACAGCATTGCCTCAATTTTCTATCAATTGAAAATTAATGACTTTAATAACAATCATATGACATTTGACTAACAGCTACCGTTTAGTTTTCACTACCTTCGCCTATATTTAACCAAAAAAATTGTTGTGTCGTAACTATTACTTCATACAGGTGATGTCATTAAGGAGTCGATCAAAATAAAGAATGGATAAGTTTACCTGGATCAATCTGTTTTCTAGGTGTAGCAGGAGATCTGGGTGGAGTATGTACACCTGACAGTTCACCTACAATATATATCACAAATCACTATAGTAAATATTGAGATACATTTGACATGCATATATCTCTTTTTTCAAAAAGAAAGAATTATTTAAATTCTTCATGCCGAATGAAAACTGTAAAACATGTACATAAAAAATACTATTTAAAATGTTCTTGAATTCTATGTATGGTATTTTCAGTAAAGATAGTAAATTTAGATTTGAAGTACTGCCTAGAATAAGCCATTCATTCCTTTACCTTCAGTTTCTTTCTTATGAGGCATTAATTCTGCTACTAATAATCTTTCAATACTTCCATCATCTACACCTTTACCTAGCCATCTACCACAATTATACCTACAAATATCACATTGGGTGTCAGATATCTTAGTCAACTAAACCAAATTTCTTAATAACTTAACATAATAAACTTTGAGGCATTCTTAATATAAGGACAACTAGAGACATACTGGTAGTATATCAATACAATTCTTTGAATTTAGCCATGACTATAATTTTCAGATGACATAACGGTTAAATCGATGTGAAGACACCACTGTTACATCAATTGCTTATACATGTATTTAGAACATTTTCTACAACCATGCTCACTCTTAGAGAATCAGCTGCTGAATTTCTCAAAATCCTTTTCAAAGAGTTCACTCAACTGAACCAAAGTTGTGATATAAAATAAAGTATTACCTGTATGTATGTCCTGTGACTTCATTTCTTACTAGAACATATTCTACTAACCATTTAGCAGACATACCACTATTATCATGTCCTATACGTAACGTTGTTAATATACCTAAATTCTTGTGCTGAAAATATTAGATAATAATACTTAAAATATAACTTTAAACAACTCTATTTTTACTAATCCTTGGTTTTACTTATAAATCTACATTTTTTACCAATATTAACTTAAAAGGATATTGATTAAGTGCTTCCAAATTGTAGATGAAGGAATAATAGGTGCATTTCATAATTATTGGAAATTCTTAAAGAATAGATCAAACTTAACCTTTAAGAAGCTCCAATAAAAAATAGTTGCAATATACTGCCCTAAAAATTCCTATAACAATCAAACACTGACATTACAAATAAAGAAGAGAAAAGAAAAGAACTAATACTGACCTGAAAATTAAATTCTAAACAACCTCTAGGTATGTCTAAAACCCCTGATTCACCTAGTTGACCAGCTATACTAATCCAAGGATTAGCTGTTGTTGTAGCACAGCCAAATTTAGTACTAGGATAGATTAATACTTTATAGTTTATCACTACAATAAACAAAAATCATTCATCATTAATGCATCATTCAATAAAAATAACCATTTTTTCCTACCTCAAGCAATAAAAATTTATGGTAAAATAACTAAAGGCATATGATCATTTGTACATGATTTGAATTAGTCAGATACACTTAAAAACTCTGTTCAATCCATTTCCTTCAAACTTCAGCTAAATAGTTTAGAGACGTTTATGTTACAAGCTACAACTTACTGGTATTAACAAATGTATTGGTGAATGAAAAGAAATCAACAGCATTCAATGATAATAGATGATATAAAAACTGTTCTCTTTCATCTTCACATCGTAAAAATGCATATCTCTTATATAAACTCCTGTAATATACATAATATATAAACTTCTGTAATATACATAATATATAAACTTCTATAATATACATAATATATAAACTTCTATAATATACATAATATATAAACTTCTGTAATATACATAATATATAAACTTCTGTAATATACATAATATATAAACTTCTGTAATATACATAATATATAAACTTCTATAATATACATAATATATAAACTCCTGTAATATACATAATATATAAACTTCTATAATATACATAATATATAAACTTCTATAATATACATAATATATAAACTCCTGTAATATACATAATATATAAACTTCTGTAATATACATAATATATAAACTTCTGTAATATACATAATATATAAACTTCTGTAATATACATAATATATAAACTTCTATAATATACATAATATATAAACTCCTGTAATATACATAATATATAAACTCCTGTAATATACATAATATATAAACTCCTGTAATATACATAATATATAAACTTCTGTAATATACATAATATATAAACTTCTGTAATATACATAATATATAAACTTCTGTAATATACATAATATATAAACTTCTGTAATATACATAATATATAAACTTCTATAATATACATAATATATAAACTCCTGTAATATACATAATATATAAACTCCTGTAATATACATAATATATAAACTTCTGATATATACATAATATATAACCTTCTATAATATACATAATATATAAACTCCTGTAATATACATAATATATAAACTTCTGTAATATACATAATATATAAACTCCTGTAATATACATAATATATAAACTTCTATAATATACATAATATATAAACTCCCGTAATATACATAATATATAAACTTCTGTAATATACATAATATATAACCTTCTATAATATACATAATATATAAACTTCTATAATATACATAATATATAAACTTCTATAATATACATAATATATAAACTTCTATAATGTACATAATATATAAACTTCTATAATATACATAATATATAAACTTCTGTAATATACATAATATATAAACTTCTATAATATACATAATATATAAACTTCTATAATATACATAATATATAAACTTCTGTAATATACATAATATATAAATGTCTATAATATACATAATATATAAACTTTTATAATATACATAATATATAAATGTCTATAATATACAAAATATATAAACTTTGATAACATACATGAATAATACACATACAAAATATATTAACTCATAAAATATTCAAAGTATCTGAATTCTAATGTACAAAACATCTAAATATCAAAAATACAAATAACATCACTCCTATAATATAAATACTATAATTTACAATATACATCTTTTAACATACACATGATATTTAACTTTTCAAATATACAAAATATATAAGTCATTTCTGACATAACCCAGTTCTTCAGAATAAGATAGTTTGATTCCCAATATTGTTGTATGATATTTTTGAGAAATTCACTATCAAATTTATACAAAGCTGAACCACTAATTAGCTCTTCAGATATTACCAGATATTCTATGGTGTCCTTGTGCCAAAACAGTACCATAATACAGACAAGGAGTGAGGTTTTCCCTTCTTAGTACAATTCTGTAAGTATGTTTAGCTAGAAAATGAAGCACTTGATCGAATACTTATTTGCACAATTAAAACTACATATTGGAACATTCTCATCTCTGCAGGAACATTCTACACTTCACCTCTGACAAATGTGACTAGTAAGTAAAACTCACCTCAATAAATCTGCATCTGACAATAATTCTTTTAAATGTGATGATAATATTTTTTTCTCTAATGCTAGTCTTACCCAGGCTCTAGCGTAACCTACATCAGTTCTGATATCACCCATCTGTTGTACTTTCCTGTAATTTCACATTGTCATGTCAAAATTCAATTATGAATACCTTGTACGTTATGTATTTTGATAGTAAACTTTTATATCTTGCATATATTTGTAATAATAAAGATACGTCTTTGTACAAGGTTTATAATAATAATATTGAAGACGATTTAACATTGTATCAACTTTAAATCAAGACATATATAAATATGCACATATTCAACCACCATCTCTGACGTTTTTAAATTTCCAATACAGTATATGCAAGATATGAATTTGAAATAAAACAAAATATATCTCACTTCATATCATGAATAACAGATGATGGCATATTTTCTAGAACTGGTAATTCAATACGTCCTTGACTACTGCGTCTTCTATGTGTTTTGGTAGGTAATGTATTTGTATGAGGTTTATCATCTAGACCCACATTAGATAAATCTACAAAATATCATTTCATTAAAATGTATACCATTAAAAACATGCATCAAAATACAAGCTGTTATACTATATTACCAATATTGTATATTATATTAAATGCAGAACTCAAAAGCATTCAAAAATATCAAAATATAGTTATTAAGAATACTAAGTTCAACAATTCAATTTTCAGAAAAAAAAGCTCAAATTCAAAAAGACCATGAGACAGAATTCGTTAGCTTATTTTTTATGCATATACCAAAGAATCTAATATAATATATGTCGTGCATTTCAGGATTCTAATCTACTCTATACACTTTAAATAGGACAGTACATCACCACACTAGTTAAATATTAAGACAAACAGATTGTATTAGTTATATATATATATATATCAATTCATAGAGATAGTTTATATAGTAACATATACAAGGATATAAATTGTCAGGGAAAAATAGATATTTTTTAAGAACATTAGAACATAAACTCATAAATACACCCTTTACCAAATTTCTTCCCTTCTAAACTACCCAAAATTATAGAGTTTAGAATCAAAACAAATATACTGAGAAAAAAATATATCTTAAAAAGTAAACCATTGATTCCACTTAGAAGAGGAAAGAACAAAATAAACCAACTTCAAACTATACAGGCCACCAGCACAAAGGGACATGGATACCAGCTAACATTGTTCGAGGTCTGTTTAGCAAAGCCACAATATTGATAAAGACATAACCAGATGATTATAAAGTAAAGCCATTCAACATTATTTTTATCAAAATCATATGAATGGCATATTCAAAATGAAAAATAAGAAAATAAATACCAGTAGCAAGGTATTTTCTTAGAATGTAATAACGTGTGTAATTATTCTCACACAAACACCAAATAAAGCAACATAAAATAAACACTGCACACAGATAACATGATCTAATGTTGAAATATTGAAATACACAGTAAATAAAGAGAATGAATTGATGATAATGTTATTATGTTATAACATCTACAGTAGGGGGAAGGATATGTAGTAACCTTTTTCTTGTTTATTTTTGTAACGTTTTTGAAGTAAACACCAGGCCACAGCTGCATTAATTTTAGAAGAAAATAGAAAAAAAATTGAAAATAGTAAAAAAATATTAGTATTAATCAATATAGAAAGACTACAGTCAAACATTGGTCAGTGGGTAAATTCTAGTCTGTAGCACAAGTTGCTAGTTAGTAATAGTACTGTATCCTAGGTTTACATGGATTTTATCTTCTTTCATTTGATTCATGTAGTTTGTATTACATAAATCACAGAATCATCAATTATACAAAACTTTCAATCAAATACATTGATATACATGTGTACAAGTTGGCTAAGATTTGATACAAATGATAATTTTACCATTGAGACATTTGGCTTATCAAGTTTAAACCTCTTAGATATTTTTTGTGTTTATTTAATCTTTCAACAAAGAATTTTGAACATTGTTATATTTCTGATTGAAAGTTATGTTACACAAAAATCACATGATCACAAATACATTTTGAAATAAATCCATGTAAACAAACACTAGACTGGGATTACATTACAAAATAGAGGGAAATCACCTTTGTTACCATGCTCATTGTTGACTTATACTTACTAGTTAGGGAAAATGATCTCCCTAATATAGTTATAGACCCTTCCAATAATGAGCCCATATCTAACAGACTATGGCGTTTCACTAGACCTTATAGAGATAGGGTAAATATTTATCAATATAAAGCATGACTTTAATACATTTTAATCTAAAAGGCTGCTTGTGGCATGTAATATAAGATAGGCTAATTAATATTAAGCCAATATGAAAAAATCAATGAAAGTATTAAAACCCTTTAGAATGTAAATAAGAATCCAAAAATCACACTTGTACTATACTCAAACAAAAAATGTTTTACTTTATATCAAAGGTATCTATAGTGACATGTTAAATCAAATTAACAGCCTGTCTGAGATATACAATGCAGCATGACTAGACTGACCAGGGCCAGGTCCATCACATACAAGTTATGTAGCACTGGGAAGACTACAGGACAGGATTTATTCCAAGGACCCAAGACCAATTTGTGAAGATTAGATAGAGTTTTATAAAAAAGATAGCTAGCCAGGCAAAGTAATATATGCCCACTGACAGCTTTGATTTTAAATAAAAAATATTTGGCAGTACAGTAACAATTACCAGTATGAAATATTCAATTTTCAGACAACTTTTTGAGGCAATACTGAATAATGTTACCAAGTTTCATCAAAATCTGTCAAGAATTGAACCTTCCTGAACGCGTTTTTAAGAACAGGGGCAATAATACTTTTCGATTTTTATACGCCCACATCTCTCTATTGTCGGCACCCCTAAAAACTAGATTTTTTAATGGAATCAAATGCAATTCGGTATATGCATACATATTCATAAAACGAAGATCAAGTTTGAGCGTTTACGAGCGTTTTAAGAACAAGGGCAACAACTCATACTAAATATTCTTCGATTTTTCTGATTTCCAATAGGGTTCAACCTTGGGTGATTACAAACAACCATACACAGTTTCGTCGAAATCAATCAAAGTATTGCGCCTTTTAGAGTGTTAATGAGCAATTGTGGACGGCCAGACCGACAATTTACGCTCCCCATTTCATGTGATGGTACCAAAAATTGATGAAATATCCAAGCATATTCAGTCAAAAAGTATGATTTATATGGACACCTGATGTAAATATTCCGCATTTTAGAGTCTAGATTCATTAATGTGCATGAATGGTGCTATATATACATTGCAGTATGATTCTTTTCCCACAATATAAATAACAAATCGCTATTTTATACAGAATGAATGAATATAAAAAAGAATAAATGCAATACCTGGCGTTACTTTACTAGGGTCTATAGTTTCACCTGTTTCATTACACTCCTCTATTTCTAGATAACTCAATAAATGAGACCATAATGCTGATTTCCCCTGGAAAAATCCAAAGTTTCAATTAAAAATTTCACTAGTTCCAAAACAATTCACAAATAATTGAGCCCTCACACTATCTGTATGCTGAAATACATGAGACCAGTACATGTATATATGTGTTCTTATACAGAATTATATAAAAGAATAAGAACCTTTTTAGTTTGAAGACCATGACTCCATATTCTCTCTAACAGATCACACAGACCAGCTATTAATGTATTCTCTTCTACACCAGTAATAGTTAATTCACCATGTCCTAGTTCTACAGCTTCACGTCCCATCTTAACAACCAACATCTTCTTAGTCTAAATATACAAATATATATATATTGGTACTGACAACTCTTTTATAACTATTTTATGCAAGAAAATTGTCATTTTTCATAAAATTGCTTTGAACCATATTACATAGTACCTCATTTCTATGAAATTCTCAAACAGAAATTCTAATAGGAGCAATAAACTTTTTGAGAAAATCATTCGTTTTTCCTCTCAGTATTATTCCTTGTAATGAAATAACTAAAACTTTGTATGTTGGGTAAAAAGACAATCATCAATACAATATACCTTAGTTTTACATTCCTTTAGCAATGTTTCCACAAATTTCCAGTTAGTTTGAACCATACCAGCAGCTGACATTTCTGATAATTTCGGCTGTCTGTTTTTAGTTCTAGCCTCTTGTATGTATCTCTAAATGAATAAAATACATATTTCAGATTCAGATATCTGATCATCTATACCATTGTTTCTATTTCATTAAATATTAGATACTGTTATAATAACTACCTATTAATTTGTATATTCTGACTAAAACAAATAAAAATGAATATAAGTTTAGAAATTACATTCACACAGTAGGTTTTAGTTGTTAAAACCATTTTAAAAATTCTTGTTGAAAATGAGATCTGCTTCAAGCTTATCACAGACAGAATCTGTGAACAACTAATTTATTTTTTTAAAGTAAAAGGCAACTGGATGTATCTTGGAATCACATATTTTTGTCAAAATGTGCACATCTATGAATGCTCATATCTAGGTATTCAGGTGTAAATTTCTAGATTTAATTGTTTAAGAAAAAAAACTTCAATTTCTATCAAATATGCCAATATGCCAGAAATGTATTGTCTGGACTTTTTCTGAAAATTAAAAATTCAGACAAAATGTTTTTTTTAATAAAGTATTTAAAGTACCCTTAAGTTTTATGATAAACTTATTTTCGAACTCTACTCAGCATACAATCTAATGCTGTATAAGGACATTATACCAATGCACTATCCTGCTTTCCTTTAAAATTGAAACTTAAATTTTATATATCCTGTTGATAATATTATAATGTATAATGTATAATACTTATGAATGAAAAGTTAGAAGTAGATACTACAAGTAGAAACTAATAGTCTACAATCATGCCACAGAAAGGGATCACCAAAAAGTTGAAAGTATTTGTAATTTTTGTTAAAATATGTGACCGATTCTTAATATTAACATAAAGAACTGATAATTTGATCAAATTATATTTCCTGCATTATTTCATGTTTAAACAGCGTAATACTATATTGTGATGAAGTTAAGAAGGCATTAGACAACATTAAAAGATACAAAAAGTTACATGAATTGAAGATTAAGAGTTGAACATTTTTGACCATATAAAAACCCTCTTTGTTAATGTTTGTTAACTTATACCATTTTCATATTCTTTAACAGTACTAACAGCCAAGTTTTACATATTGATATCAATTGAAATAATTTTACAAAGAAAAACGACATTACATCCATGAATGCTGCTTACTTTAAAGAATAGCTTAGAATGACGCTCTAACATATTCACTGGAAAGAGTAGTTAACACCAGTAGCTGTTTGGCTCTGAATTGTCGGTGTACAAGGTAATGTCAAAAAGGTAAGAGTCATCAACATTGAATGAGTAAAACAAGCACTTGGCAATACTATTGAGACTATCTGAATACTAATAGATTGTCCTGCTGTAAAAATCACAATTAATTATTGGGTGTGACAGTATCTTTTGGTAAAGAGATGCTTTTTTGTATGGCTAATCTATCTTCTCAAGGTTTAAAACTAATCGACATTACCCTGTATACCTTTTCAAAAGGTTTGGTGACCATGCAGTTGAATTTTACATTTTGCACTATGAAAAATTACATTTTAACAGTAATTGAAGAGACACCATTTGTAATGTTAAAAATTGATAGTAAATACATGAGAGAATATACATAGAGAAAGAGTGGTGTAAAATATAAATAAAGTGATGGGTTATAAAGGTTAAAAAGGAAAGTTTTTAGAGGGTTAGGTACTCACTAGCCACTGTTTGGCATGTTTCTCAACTAGAACAAACTTTAGAACAAAATAACTTGATATTAGACAGTTGTAGTTAAAACTAATATATTAGAAGTCTAAGAATAGAGACATACTTCATATCAATATTAACCATAACCCTTTGAATATTGGCAGCTAGTGCTACTTAAGGATGAGCACAATACTCTCTGTTCAAAGGGTTAATAAGAATTTTGGATCTTTAGACATTATAAATTTTTATTTAAATTCCAAGAATATGAAATATGTCTGTTTATTCTAGACAAAAAATATTCAAATTAACAAAATGCAAAAATAATTCATGCTCTGAAAATGTGCAATCCATAATATATTTCTTTCCAATTTACATGCTTAAAGAGTATTCAAATTAATCTTAACTTTGAAAATAAATAAGGGGGTAAAATGTTTCTTAGAATTTCGGGTAATGATGTTGCTCCCCCAAGAAATGTTACCAGTGATAGGGATTTAGGATAAAGAAAATCATAAAAAACAAATATACCTCTCTTTGATCAGAGTTTAATTGTAGATGTTCAGCATGTTGAAGTACCCTGTCTTTTCTACGCCATTTAGCATTTTCTCTGGTTTTTGATCTGGAAATTAAAAAAAAAAAAACAGTTCTTGTATTAGGTATTTGTTTTAGTCCTAGTTGTTTCGTTAAAACAAGTTCAAAAAGGTTAAGTATAGGGTATAAAAAAAGTTTTTCTACATATGTATCTGAACATTTACAGATTCTTTTTCATTTCAGATTTCCTGACATACATCTGTAGTTCCTGAAAGTGCCACAGAAAGTTCCGCAAATTCTAGAAAAATTCGACTAAGGCTTGACATTGCAAGTGTTTTTCCCCAAATTATAGAGACCATAGACAAGATGAACAGTAACAATAGAAGCTATAGGTGCCCCTGATACTGGAGCATCTTTATAGTCCTTAAAAGTTCAAATTTCAATTTCTAGGGTGTGATAATATACAAAACATGTATCGACATAGCCATTAACTTACTTATTAGCAATAATTTCAGTATTCAAAAACACTTTATTTAATACTGGAAAGAAACCAGGTTTGATATCAGATTGTGTAAGATCACTGGATAATTCTTGTGGTTTCACGGACGTATGATCTATAAAAGTAGCTCTCTTTTCAGGAAATACCTCTAAAATAACAAATAATTTACATTTAATGACAATATTCCAATCTTAAAACCTGAAATCAACAAAAATAAATGTTAATAACAAGAACACATTGTAATATTTTGATTGAGAATGATAAGTCAAAAGTAACACAATTAACTTGTTAGTGTAGGCTTCTTGTTCAGAATAGATTGATTCATTGTATCCTGAATTGGTCAAAATTTTATCAAGCTTACATACGTGCAACAATGTCACTAGGGTATAAACCCTATCATGTTTCTATATGCATTTGTTTTTAAGAATGTTTCTTTACCTGTATCAGTAATTGTTGTACATACACTGTAGGTTGGTGTTCTAACTTCACCTAATACATCATTTACATTTCTGATCCGAGCCTCAAATACACCTAAATATGGATCAGTTTCTTCCCATTGTGATACAATCTTATTATCTACTAATGTTGCAAACATCTGAGTTTCTATGAATGGAGATAAAAATGGTAGATCTCCTTCAGGTTGATCACTCAGAAATGAAGCTTTATCAAAATTTTGCATTGTTTCACGATTGTTTATCCATGATTCTAGATCATGTGATGGTTGAATCACAAAAGACTCATAGCTACTGAACATATGAACAAATCTATTCATAAAGATTTCACGTATAGCACTGTTAAATTTGAGATCATTGACTTCAGAGACAGGCATTCTATCTACATCTTTTTTATTTTCTTCTATAGGTTTATCTGCATCCATACATTTCTCTTCTCCACTCATTTCCCCATAACCTTCCCACACACCAGTCTTCTTAGCTATAGATGATATCTTCTTCCATGCTTCACTTTGTTGTAACATCTCCATACGTTTTGGTGAATTAGGCCAGCTACCAGTACCTACTGTAGACTCAGTAGAAGATATATTTTTACTGACAGTATTTCTTAATGGTGAACTTGTTATAGTAGTACCACTTTTAATTGGTGGTGTAAAAATATCTTGATAAATATTCAACAATTGGAGTAATTCTTCTTTCAATTCATCATGATGGGGAAAGAATGGTAAATCTTCAGGTACTTCTACTGAATTATTATCAACATCAACAAAACACATGTTGGCCTGTAATTATATAGAATAACATTAATTGTGCACAAGCTTTACAAAAAACATAAATTGCGTCTAAATGTTGTTTACCGGTCTTCAACAATATCAATATTGTCAGGTCAAGTTTGATTTTTCCATTTATGTTAGTATGAAGAGCAATACTAATTTTATAATTTGGTTATAAATATTCTTAAAAGTAAATAATTTTCAAAGGTATTTCAATAACTGTCTTAGGTGTGGATTATCAATTTTGACATGGTAGAAAATAAATAGCTAATACACAAAGTACTGAACCAGACATGGTTGGATTCTTCTATTTGCTATTCAATCTACCATTCAGCATCATTTGCTGAGCTTGTATCAAGTCTATTCTAAACCTATACAACACATCCTTAAGACAAGGATACAATTTTTTCAAAATACGCCATTTTAACACATAAGAAAATCATTAACAGCAGCTTAAATTTTTTATAGTAATTTGACATTAATTCATTTTTTCTATGGAATGGAAAGATATCAATTTACTTGGTCTGTAACATACTCATACAAATAACATCTTACCTCACTTACTAATTCAGGACGTTCATCATTACTTCTATGTAAACCCATAATAAATGGTACGGGAGCATCCAGAAAGTGTTGTAATGATGCCGGTAATATTGGTACATATACATGTTGCCATGTAAAGGGAAATATTAAACAACCGACACCTTCAGCTATTAACATTAATTTTTGGTAATCTAGGGAACAAATAGTATAGTTTTATTTCTATGGTCATCATTTCCAAAGTAAGCAATTAAATTTCAGATACAGACACAATTTTACATAATCTAGTTTTCAAATACTGGAAAGCAAAATATCTCAATCAACTAAAGTCACCATTAGGTTTCAATCCTATTGCATTTAAAAAGTTTACAAAATCAAACTGAAATGAATTATTCAAGATCTTCTAATTTTTATGAGATAGAGACTAAATCTTACCTGCTGAATAGAGTAATACTTGATGTTCCATAAGTACACTTACAAATATCAACAGTAAATTATCTATACCTAATAATTTACAAAGCTCCCATAGTGAGAAATCAAACAGTGGTAGTTCACCCATACCTGTAAAGTAGAATATAAAATGTAACATATTTTAACTTAACAACGATCTCTTTCACAACTGAAAGTGATGTTTGTGTTCGAGTTATCTTATTGATCAATCACAAATATCGATGTAAAATTTAGATTCATCATTCAATCAGATTGTAAAATAACTTGATATTGTCTAAGTCTGGATAAAACAGGTGTCAAGTATATATTTAATTTACCATTAATATTAGGTGAATGAGCTTCAATATAGCTCTTAAATCATTTTCAGCACTCATGGAAGGAAAAGTAAGCTGAGAATTAATTAAATCACTTCAAAAACATACAGTTCTGCTTGTTATTTTCTTTATATTACAAAATGACAATGATCATTCCTTGTCCATCTATCCATGACACTTTTTGAGAGGTTCCAAGCCTTCATGAAAGTGTACTAGAGTTTGGTAACTAAGCTCAAAATATCAATATCCACTTACTAGGTCTCTGACAGAATATTGGTGACATTACACCATAAAACTTTAAACTTCTTCCAGGTGGTGGCATTGGTACATCATATAAGATATTATAAATATAACTCTCTAATGGTAAACTAGCTCGTGAAGGTTTATTCACGGCTTCATGTAGTTGTTTTAAAAACTTCTTACAAGATTTAACAAAAGGCAATTGAAGTATGAGACAGATACATTTTGTTACATACAATTTATCTTTGTGAATATCAAAAACTCGTGATTTCTCTTTACTTGGAATTATTTTCTTCATCAATATGGGACTATCAGGAGAGTAGATCTCAGGAAATTGAGGTTTTAATGCAGGACTATGTTGAGCCTGATGCATTGCATGTAATGTTTGCATTGCTGCACATATTTGTTTATTAGTGACCTCTTCATAAAACACATAAGCTGCTCCAAATATTCTTGATCCATCTTCTTTTGTAATTATAAAAGAATGAAACTTAGGGTTGCGTGAATCCCTTTGAGTTCGAAACTGAAGACCTTTGGGTAAACATAGCTGAAACAAACATACATAAGCATTAGTGACCAAGGAAGTAAGTTTCAATTCCTTCGATCTTGCTTCTTATTTGGTCACTTTGATTCATGAAATGCACAATGATTTACTTATGGTACTACTACTTCATTAAGCAAAGGAAAGACACAGAAAGACAAAAAATTTGACTTAAAGTAGAAAAAGGAAAGAGTAGCACCCAATTCTCTTGCTAAGTTATAGCATTAAAAGAAAATGTAATAAATGTAATTTTCATAAAAGATGTTAACATTATGTACAATTAAGAGGTAATAGTGTGTACAATGCTGATACTAGTTAATATCAAACTTGACAGAGTGTATAACATTGCTAAACAAACCTACCATGCCCACAGCCTCTTTGTCGAATGGATTCCATGATACTGTTTCTGGAAAATGAGCTAGGACTTTGGACTTGTAAGACCTGGCTAAAGGCTCAATATGATGGCTTTCTCCTATAAATCAAACAGTATTATAAGTACTCTTTATTCAGTAATAATAGCTCGGCATTAAACTGTGAACAAACATAATGTTTATGGTATACATATATGTCGTAAGCTTTCTAGAAGTCATTAGGAAGTTCAAATAAATTTCAAACCAAAACGGATTACAATCAATTTCTTAGTCTGGATTGGACAAGCCCAAAAACTTTTAGAAACCTGCAAACAAGGTCTACCACAGATTAACTAAAAACGTTCCTTTTTTTCTGGAAATTGATGAATTGACAAAAGAAAAAGTCAATTTTTATGAAAATATCTTAGCTTTAAAGATAACTTAAAATGCCAAATATGAGCTCAAACTCAGGTAAATATTCACATCATTAGGTGGGTTATACTTGTTGTATAGGACTATTCTAGACTAAATATTTTTATTTAATATAAAATGTTTCTATCCAATGGATGTAGCTTACCAGACCAAGTCCAAAAATAATATATAAAGTAAAAAGTAAGTTGTAATAACAAGTCATTACAATATTTATACTATTATCAGTATGATTCAGTCAGATGCCAGCAGGAAACAATTCATTTTTAGAGAAAAGACAATGCAAAATAAGACCAGATACCGGGTACTATTATAGAATCAGTGAGGGCTACTGTCCATGTATGTGGGCTACATGATTGGCTAATGTCACTGAAAAGATTTCATACACAAAAATAGGCCCTTGTCATATAAAACAGTCGGTGAGTAGGATAGGCCTATTAAGAACTACAAGTTTAGTATGCTTATCTTAATTGTTTTAAAAAAAACAAGTAACTTGTCCATTAAATCTTAGACACACACATAGATACCAACATAGAAATTCGTTTGATATCTTTATAAATGAATGCAAAACTCTTTTTAAATGACATAAAAGACGATGTCACTGTCAAAGTAGATCCAGGAGTCAAATGACAGTGACACTAAACTGACAGATAAACAAATGTCAACAAACCTCCAGCAAGTCGATCTGGTTCCAATCCAGACGAAACATCCAGTCCACAAACTACAAAATAATCTGCGAATCTACTCGCAGCAACGTTCAGTGTCATCTTTAAAATGTTAGGTCATTTTTACTTCGTCAGAAGAAAGATATAACATCATTTTGACTGGTTATTTTTAACTACGATCTATCTCATTTGTCGTCCATATTTCCTCTTTTCTTCTTATTTCTCACCACCAGATGTCACCGTAAATCCTGACGCAATCAAGGGAGATAATTTGTAAACAAAGATCCTGAAAACAATCAGAGTATCGCTGCTCTGTGCAGTGCATGTGAATACTTGTGATATTTCTTACTTAAACGAAAAAATTTCCCATTTCTCTGTCTGGAAAAATGTGAATACTCGAATATTCTACATTGCCAATTGTCATTATTATGCATAGGCCTACTACTAATAATAATATCCCTAGCTCACTACTAAACTACTTTTTTTTAGGCTTTTCTCCTTCTCTATAAGTACTTTTTGGTCTTCTGCAGTTGCCTGAATAGAATTTTATGTAATATTTCTATGTGAACGTAAATTCAAAATAGTGATATCAATATGAGATTGATATTGTGCTGATAGAAAGTAAAACATAAGGCATTTATCTAAGTTAAAGTCAATCTTAGTCTCTCAGTATGGTACCGGTAGTTATTTGAGACTGATATTCCCAAGTACATGAGGTTAATCAATAATAGGCCTAATTAGATATGTATTTTTATTCAAAATAGAATGTTTCGATTAAATGTTATTAAGCGCATTATTGGTACTGGTGTAAATTCATACAGAGTTCCACAAACTGTACAATCTGTTAATGTAAAGGTAGGTTGTTAAATGAAAATGAGGATTTTAAACTAATGGTTTACAGCTTTGTGCAGCTGGTTTACCTGGTATGGCTTATATTTAGTTAACTTCAATATATTTAACAATGCCGTCTAAACGCATTTTTTCAAATTGTCTTTTAGAATTTTAGTGACGAAGTAGAGAGATCTAAGTCAGCAGTTCATGATAAATATAAACCAACAATATTTACTAAGATAATAGATAAAACAATACCAGCTGATATTCTATATGAAGATAAACAGGTTTGTATGCAATTAAATCAATTTATTTTTAAATGACAGGAGTAAATGTGAAGGCTTTTTTTTTGCAAATCCATGGTCAGTGAAATTACTTGTGCTTAACAATTTGACCTATTTTGATTTCTCATAGCTCCAACACCTTTGTCACTTTCAAACATTTTGACGCAATTGAGAGAAATGACTGACACTAAGGTTTAATATGTATGAAATATCTAAATAACTGTAAATCACAACTTGAATATATTCATATTTCCTCAGTGTATGGCATTTAGTGATGTTAACCCAACAGCTCCAGTACACTTCCTTGTTATACCTAGAAAACCTTTAACTGGAATCAGTGATGCTCAATATGAAGATCAAGAGGTAAACTATTATTTTATATTATTTTTAAACTTTTCATATACATCATTATTATCAATTTGAATATAATTTTTCGGCTTTATCATACACATTATTATAATGAATTTGAATTGGAATAGTTAGAGTTATCATATGTATCGCCATTTGAATCTGAATTTTAATATGACAGTTCAGATTGTTATTGAACATCATAATGAGGAAATTGAATCTTATTTACACAGATTTACCAGAATTAGTATTGGAATTTAAGTGTGGAGATTTACCATCTGTTAGTGTTATCCATTACATTTATGATATTTTTCAGCTGTTAGGACATCTTCTATTGGTGGCAAAGAAGCTAGCAGAAGATAAAAAGTTAGACAAAGGATATAGAATAGGTATCCACATTATTTCTATCTCTCATTTCAATGTTTATTTCAGTTTAAACAATCTATTATGGCACTGTATTGTATTCAAATGCTTTGAATATTAAATTAGCAATGTTAAGTTATATTTACAAAGAGAAGTATGTTACTGATGGTGTGTGTATTTAGGTAGGTTTATGGTAAAATAAATGAAAAAGAGCATTTCCATGTTTCAGTTATAAACAATGGTGTAGAAGGTTCCCAATCTGTATATCATTTACATATACATGTTATTGGAGGTCGACAGATGAACTGGCCACCTGGTTGATCAAAGGATGCTACAAACATCTTAGTGATTCCTTATGTTTCATTATTATGCAATATTTTGATATAAATGAATAATAAAATTATGAAACATTAATTTGAAAAAGATATTAAGAAAAGATAAATAGTAACAGTTTTCGTGTTCATTCTTAAAATTGAATTTCAAATTTTAATAAAAGTACAGATATGCAAGTTATAAAAGACTCAATTTAGAATACATGTGACTGTGTACATGTATATCTCCATTAACTTAGTTCATTGCTTTTACAAGATGCCATGTTTGGTAAAATTGCTGAAATTTTTCTGCATTTATTTTATTGTGAGTTTTTTTCTATCTACAGAATTATTGACTTTTGATTTATTACAGTTAAACATCACAAAACAAATATTAAATGGTTTTGAAACAGTCAAATTCATAATAATAACATCAAAATGATCATCAATGTTCATTATCAGCCCCAGAAGCACTAAAATATAAATATACAGATAAAATACTCATAATCATAACATACAATAATTAAGCAAAATGTAACATGAAATGAATGTAAGTGAAAAAGAAATATTTGACATCATTGTGATATATGTTCCAACAGATTAATGAATTCCTCATCAACTATAGTTTTTCAGCTGAAAGTAAAAATGTAGAAAGAACTAAAAGTTAGCTTTTATTGAGTATTTGAATCAAGAAAGATTGTCATGTGTAAATCTGGTATCAAATGGTCACATTCTCATAAAGAGGTATTCCATGAGACAATCAACAATATTTTTATATTTCCAAAGAAGAATTGAATCAAAACATAGTTATTATTGAAATGGTGCTAGCTAGTTTATTTTGTAAATCATGCAGAGTAATTTAAAGCATGAATATAGTTATCCAGAATAAAATATGATTGTTATATGAGAATTATATACAACTATTATAAAATACATTATATTACATCATAATATTATACTCTTCATTATTATAGTCTCTTTTATAGCCTTTCTTTATGCATAGAACTTGATTTATCCTCTCCTTTCTATATAGATTTCAATTCAGAATTATAAATATATTTCAAAAACATATATTTTTGAAAAATTCATAGATTAAATTAAAGACATAGACAATTTTAAATAGTTCTACAGATCAATATTCTAATACTCTTAACCAATTTCGTAGAAGTTAATCAAACTTTTAACCTAATATATATAAGATTTGGTTCAATAAAGCATGTGTAAACGAATAAACATTTAGCCAATAATACAGCAATTTAAGGTTCTGTTTTGTAAGTACAAAATTAACATATATTCTAAACATAATGGATCAACTTTGAATAGAATTATTAGGCTAGTATCCAAATAGAAAGAGATATGAGTTGTTGAATATTTATAATAAAATAAGAAAATTATATCAATATATCAGAGAAGTTGAATGTAAAAAAAGTATTATTTATTGATCATTTTAGGACTTGGTACATTTGTTTAATTTCCCTTCATTTGGACATTACGCATCACAGCAAATAATTTCAACCATTGTTTATCACATATACAGTATATAAATATTACTCATATATTATGCTAATGGTGGTAGTCCAGCCTTTTCTCTACATTTCTGTATTAAAGCTCGCAGCATAAATTGTTTTCTGGATAACTCTCTTATCTTCTGTAATTATAAAAGTATTTAAATAAATTCTATTAAAGTTGTATTCACACAAATGTTTCCTATAATCTATTTGACAAAAACAAGATCCACACCTCAGGGTTCATAATTATTTCACACAGTCTTTTTAAATTTTTAACTTATGTATGAAATATAGACCATGTAAAACTTACTTTAAGAAAAACCTCCAGATCTATAACATCTTTTCTCAGTGCTTCACCTAGATAATATATAGTGTCCTCTATAGCTTGTTCTTCAGAGAATGAGTTTAACAGCCTGAAATCAAACATAAACAAATATGTAAATTATTTTTGGAAGTTTGGAATAAAATAAATGTTCCAAACACCATAATATGCAACCTGGTCGGCATCAATATTGATAAGGAGGATCAGAGTGTCAACAATGTACATCAATATAATAGAGTTGGTATATAAATATTATTAGTAGGTAGGTCAGATGTCTGAAGGTCATAAAGAGAGAAAAAAACACTGAGTACTACTTTGTTCTGTTTTAATATTTCTATATCTCTCTACAATTGATATATTGAGAACTATTTTAACAGTGAAAATTGTTTGTTCTTGTAAGTATTATGTGTTACAGGTACATACTGTCTATATAAAGGTGTTGTAGTAACTACTGCCTCATCCATATTTAGTTCATCTTCATTTTCAATCTTTCTTAAAGCTTCTTGTACTTCCGAAGATTTTTCACGTAAAAGAAATAAATTCTTTTCACAATCAGTCTGAAACAAAACATTCATATCATATTTTATAAAAAAGCACAGAAAATCAAATTTTACTCGATATAGTGTTAGTCAGATAGGAATATCATATTTAAGGAATATATAGTAGTCTTAACCCTTTAACTGCTGAATATTTTTTTAGAAAATTGACATTTTGTGGTACCTTTTTTCAAAAGCATGTGGCTCCAAAACTGTGGGATGTAGGCACCAAGTGTCAATAAATAAAATGTTCAGTGATATTTGTATGTTACCATGGAAATATTCATTTTTGTGACGTCATCATTTTGTGACGTCATTGTGATGTCACCATGGCAACAATAGGTTCAAATCCTAAAATTATTAGATTTTTGTTAAAATAACAATTTTTATCATGTTAGAAGTTAATGGATATTAATTTTATATACTACCATGGATCTGTTTATTTTTAAATCTAAATACAACCATTTTCAATCGAAAGTTGATCCAAATACATGACAGCGAAATTGTTTACATTGACGATTGCTATTTAGGCCACCTGCTGCGGGTGAATAGACATCATTAGAGCCGTAAATTTCGTATGTATCTATAGGATGTCTATGGTTATGATGCCATGAAAACTCAAATTTCGGGACATCTTTTCACAAATATTACCTATTTTCAATCAAAATGTTTAGGATTTTTTATAGAAGAAACATGCATGTTTTTTTGTCTACAAATTATCACCGATATCTAAATCTGATTATACATATATCAACACTGTCTTTATAGCGGTAGTTTCGTATTTATTTAAAGTGGCGGTCGCACGGGTAGAATGTCGCAATATTGCGACCGTGGCAGTTAAGGGGTTAACTGATGATAGAAATAAATGAAATCCATGGTCTCTTGTTACCTAGGAAATAGCTTCACAAGTTATAACAAACTGCATCTAATACCATGACATTAGGCACTTTCCTTGCATCACACAAGTTGTAAATGCAGAGATTTGATTGGATTGTATGCACAGTCATTACAAATACAGTCAATCAGTACCTTCAACCAAAAGATTTAACCATATGGTTTCTCTTCAGTCCTTTGTAAAGGGTTTTGATGACTGTATTTGATAGTATAAGATAGCTTGCCAGGCAATGTAATATACGCCCACTGGCAGCTTTGATTTTAAATAAAAACGTTTGGCAGTACAGTAACAATTACCAGTATGATATATTCAACCTTCAGACATACAATTCTTTTGAACTTTTTGAGGCGATACAGAATAATATTACCACGTTTCATCAAAATCCGTCAAGAACTGTGCCTTCTGGAGTGTTTATGTGCTAAAAATTGAATGCGTTTTCAAGAACAAGGGCAATAACTCATACTAAATATTTTTCGATTTTTCTGATTTTCTATAGGGTTTATCCTTGGATGATAACACTCATGCCAAGTTTCGTCAAAATCTGTCAAGAACTGTGCCTTCTGGAGTGTTTACGGGCTAAAAATTGAACGCGTTTTCAAGAACAAGGGCAAAAACTCAGACTAAATATTTTTGATTCTTCTGATTTTCAATAGGGTTCATCCTTGGGTGATTATAAACACTCACACCAGGTTTAGTCAAAATCCATCGAGAATTGTGCCTTCTAGAGTGTTTACGAGCTAAAAATTGAAAGCGTTTTCAAGAACAAGGGCAAAAACTCATACTTAATATTTTGTGATTCTTCTGATCTTCAATAGGGTTCATCCTTGGGTGATTACGAACACTCACACCAGGTTTTGTCAACATCCGTCAAAAATTGCGTCTTGTAGAGTGTTTACGAGCAATTGTGGACGGACTGACGGACGCACCGACATGGGTGACGGCAATATACGCCCCTCATTTCATGTGGGCGTATAAAAAGTGCAAATTATGTCAATGGAGATGGAGCTCATAGTATTTCTCTAAGGTAATTTGCCTAATTTAGAGTTAATTTTCTTAAAAATGACAAGTAATAAAAGCCATTAAGCATACCTTTTCTTCTTCAAGGTCTGTTAACATCTTCTCTAGTTTTACCTTACCAGACTGTAAATCAGTCTGTGTCCTTTTTAATACATCCATTTCAGCCTAAAAATATAAAAAAAGGTGTAGAACATCAAAAATCAATAGATTTTACCATGATACTGTTATAACAAATATAAAAATTTCAAATTTTGTTCAAATAGAATTCAGATTTTAAATCTCAAATCAACCTGTGCTTGGGCAAATGTTTCTCGTAATCTTCGTTTTAACTTGTCTTCCACTGCAGACTTTAATGATGCTTTAATATGAGCCTCTGTAACTGTACCAGTTCCTGGTCGAACATTAGTTGACGAGTCTGTAATAAACAAGACCATTTAGACTGCTTCTTCTCTGAAATCACAAGAAATTAAAATTTATTATTTTGATAAAATTAAAACATTTCTTGTATTATAATCAAGCCTGTATTAAGCATTGATATCTGTAGTATCAACAATTCTAACTATTTTGTATATGTATATTGTATATTGTTCTTAAAAAATCCATGGCATAATCTGTACTATACTCGCATGGCTTAATAATATTACTTTAGTTTAGTAAAATCAGAATATTCACCTGAACTAGTTGATGTATAAGGATAACCGGAATGCCCACCTGAACTAGCTGATGTTTTGGGTAAACCAGAATACCCACCTGTATTAGTTGATGAATTGGGATAACCAAAATACCTACCTGAACTAGTTGATGTATAACGATAACCAGAATGCCCACCCGAACAAGCTGATGTATTAGGTTAACCAGAATACCCACCTGTATTAGTTGATGTATTGGGATAACCAGGATAACCAGGAGGTGTACTGTATTGATACTGTTGAGGGTATCCTGAACTACTTCCATAACTCTGACTATGAGGTGGGTACCCTGAACCCCCAACCTGATTAAAACCACCATAATTCTGTCCTGGATAACCAGAGGGTGGATAGGGTGGATTAGGATAACTAGAACCAGGATATCCACTTGTAGATGTTGGTGTATATGGTGGATACGGGGAATTCCCACTTGAACTACCAACAGCTCCAGGAACAGGCATACCACCTACAAGAAAATATGTAAAGTATGTTTTTAATCCTGATTTAACCTGTAGCTAAAGAAAGCGAGGAGCAATAACAATTTAGGATGTATAAAATGAATTGTTGACGATAATTATGTATATTAATATACCTCAGCTATCAACTGATTTAGTAGGGATGTTGCATTGATAGAGCTGAATTTACCATATGAGAGATGGGCAGTATACTTGTAAGAAAAAGCATAAAAGGAACTTAAAGATGGGATTTCTTACTTTTTAGTGTCAAATTCAGCAAATTATTTTTTTAATTAGTGTTTCTAATGAATAATCATGTATTCTTAATCAAATAATATTCTTATTGCATATATTTAAGAGTTTTAAACAATCATAAATGTCCATGTATAAGCAGTCTAGAAGAACAAAAAAAGACTTTTTGACCTTTCTTGATCAGTCACTCATTGGAATTCTGATGGTAATTCTCTTCTTATTTTGCTAATTATGAATTAATTATGAACACGTGAGACAAATTGGTATTTTTCCAAGTCATAAGAACACCTCTAAATTAAGGGAACCCATCTTTAAACCAATGTGTAATAAGTTGAAGAAACTATACCTCCAGTAGGAGGGTAGGGAGGTTGAGCTGCTCCTACACCTGAATTGGTTGAATATGGTGGGGGACCACCTCTTGGGGGAACTCTAGAAAATACTGGACATTCATCACCAAATGTCATCGTCAAAATTTGTACCAGACTTATTAAATCTGCATGTGGCTGAAAGCAAATAAAAACAAGTTCATAATTACACCAGCAAATGTGGGACAAGAAAAGCACATTTGAAATAACGGAAGACATTACATAATGAAGATTACAAATGGCTTCGGAACATAATAAGATAGATTGCCAGGCAAGGTAATATACGCCCACTGGCAGCTTTGATTTTGAATAAAAATATTTAGCAGTACAGTAACAATCACTAGTATGAAATATTCAACCTTCAGTCATACAATTCTTTTGAACTCTTTAGGGCAATACTGAATAATATTGAGTATGAGTTATTGCCCTAGTTCTGGAAAACATGTTCAATTTTTAGCTCGTGAAAACTCTAGAAGACAAATATTCAATCTTCAGCGCGGTAATGAATAATAAAACCAAGTCTTGTCAAATTTCGGCAAGAATCATACCTTCTAGAGTTTTTATGAGCTACAAATTGAACGATTTTTCAAGATCAAGGGCAATAACTCATACTAAATATTTTTCAATTTTTCTGTTCTAAAATACGGTTTATCAATGGGTGATAACCAAAACTCATGCCAATTTTCGTCAAAATCCGTCAAGAATTGTGCCTTCTAGAGTGTTTACGAACTAAAAATTGAACGCGTTTTTAAGAACAAGGGCAATAACTCATAGTAAATATTTTTCGATTCATCTGATTTTCAATAGGGTTCATCCTTGGGTGATTACAAACAACCATACCAAGTTTCGTCGAAATCAGTCAAGAATTGTGCCTTGTAGAGTGTTTACGAGCAATTGTGGACGGATGGACCGAAAGAGAAAGAGGTGACGGCAATATACGCCCCCCATTTCATGTGGGCGTATAAAAATGTTGATATACTTACATGTCTCCATTCACGTAAGAATGGTAAATCTATTTTACCATTGGTATCCACATATTGACCAGATCTTATCTGCATTGAACTTGTAGGTTTAACATAGGCCATAGGAGGATTTTGTGGATGAGTATCAAGTATCCATATACATATTGGAATATTATACTGATTTCCTAAAATAAAGAAACAAATAGCTATTTTACAAGTAAGTCTGATTAGCTTGATTTAAGAAAAACTCTAGCAATTGCAACAAAAGTAATTAAAGAGTAAAACACATTACAGGGTGAAATAAGTCCAGACGGCTAACACTAAATACGATCCTAGCGCTAGGATGTCCTAGGTTCTTATCTTCTACTAACATTGATTCTAGGACATCCTAACAATAAGATCGCTTCGAGAATACATATTAATAAGGGAAATGATATCTAAATGACAAGCTTTTAATTTAAGTTGTCAAAGAAGACATTTTCATTTTCTCAATAAAGCTTTGCCTATTATATGCACTTATCTGTGGTAAACAAAAATCAAAAAACCTTTGCACAAAAATCTGAAGACTTTATTATCAGTAAATAAGGTTTCATTAAAACTTCAATAACAGTTGATAAACAGTTAATAACATATCTATTTCCTAGTGTTACACATCCTTGTAATTAAAACTTTTTGTCTGCTAACAAATATTGGCAATATCAAATATCTTTGAAACTAGTTTGGTAAATTTCTAACAGAATTCAGATAAATTACAGATCAAAAGGTCCACTGTGACAATTAATACAATGACAATGAATACTATACATATCTAATTGTGTATTGATACATATAACATCAATTTTTTCAAATTACAAATGTTAAAATATTTATAACATACCTCTATAAGTGACTGGAATAGTTCCTTCCAAATTCAATAAGTCTCTTTGTTCACCATTATTAAATACTGGGAAAAAAGGGCATAAAGAAACTATAGTTTTGTAAAATACTGAATAAATAGGCAGAATTATCTGAACCCATTTACAACTTGGTCAGCTAGAATATTGACAAATAATCACTTATCCATGGTCATTTGAAACCAAGATCAACACATCCAAGCAAAGGACAACAATAGCTTTGACAGATATAACTTTTGGTAATTTATCCATATTTGAATTCCTAAAATAAATAAAAGGCAAGAATGTTCACTCTAAAAACATCACACACTTACCAAATGGTTCCAGTTTAGGTCTGAGATCTCGGTATTGGTTTAATACATTTGTGATTTCTCTTTTAGTAACATCTGGATTTTTATACTAAAATATATAAAACACACTTGATAATCTATACCAAACTTATAGTTTACCCCTAAAAATTTTAATACTGATGTTCACTGATTTGTTTAAGCCACAAGAATAAATTTGACCATATTCTGAAGTCATTATGGCAAAAAATAACTCTTATTCTGGTATTTGATTTATAAAGAAATAATTTGCATTAGGCGATTTACAAATGATTCGAGTTAGGTATTTGGAGTAGCAGTATGGCTTAAGTTACTGTTTGACAACTAGGCCTATATAGCTTTCTGCATCACATTTTTTCCAATCATTTTTCACATTGGTTGCATTTTATCAATTCAATAAAACAGAACTGAGGTGCTTTTGATTAAAGTTTGATCGAGGTATTGGACTATTTGCAGAAGGTATAGTAGATAACTCTGCTGTCTTCCCTCCACCATCTGAGCATCTCTCCGATCGAAATCATCTGTAAGAGCCTGCAGACAAGGACTTTTCTGGTTAATATGTTCAATTGGTGAAAAATTATAATTTGAAATTTGGTTAAATGTCGGAAACAAAATTCATGTCTGGAATCTACAGACTAGATCTATTTTTAAAGTGATACTACGGCTTAGAATACACTCGTCCTGTGGCTAATATTTGTGTTTAATAGTGACCATTGGTTAAATAAGTATGCATCCCACACTTTATCAAGTTTGAAAAATCGACAATACAACTATAATCATTATTTTTTAAAAAAAGTGAGCAAGCGACAAGTCCGTTCAGTTTGAGAAAAAAGAGTCTGGGTAATCAACGCTAAAACAGGAAACAATCATCTTCCGGTGTATACAAATAAACTTTGCCAATGATTAATATTCGATGAAAATTGTGTCAGTGGTGGAGTATTCATTGTAAATTATATGAATTACTTTTTCGTGGAGTCGCTTAATCTCCTACGAGGCATCATAATTCCGTCTTCAAAATATGACAATGTCGAGGTCAATTCAAGAGTAGAGGTCAAGGACGCGGGAAACCCCACTTGAGAGCTACTTCCCCTTGAAAATTACACCAGATTGCCTAGACTCACGATCGCTTAATGGATGTATTAAGCGTTTTATAATTAATTACTTGATTTGGTGGATGTATCGGATTATAGAAGGATTTTGATGTATAGTTAGGACACCAGGTAGGTCCACTGATGGATATATACTGTTATTGGCCAAATTTGAGCAAAATTAAAATTTCATGTTCATCCTATGACGTAGTATCCCTTTAACTTTAAGAGAAAGAAATTAGGAATGAAATTGAAAGTGGGTCTCAAATGTTTGAATTCACCTGCCAATAATACTTACCTTGGTCAAAGCGGTTTTGAGGTAAGGTTCGTGAGCGCTGGCCATAATAATGGTTTGGTCTTTTAAACTAATAAATCTTTCACACACGAATCCCAGGCATTAGGCTACTTAGATAATAAATAAAATACGACAATTTATTTTTTTATGTCGACATTTCAGCACCACTTTTACTGACTTTTCAAGAACATTGACTAAAGAGTATTAATCAGGGGAGATAACAATTTAACCGACTACATTTAACTTTTATTTTAAATGGTTTAAGAATCAGTGTTATGCAATATAACGAACCATAACATCTGTAAGTGGTTTATTGTGTAGTAGAAATTCTAGAATTTTATCATAAATGTTTTATGTATTCAATTTTATCTTAATTTTCAAAATATTTCCAAAACGTTACAAAATAAGTCGTGCATTGTTGTCATAATCTATATTTAGATTTTAAAGACGTCACTAACTTCCCCTTAAAGGCAGACTGGTTCAACAAATCCCAATAACATGTCATAACATACATAAACGATTAATTCAAAGTTGCAATTTTGTCAACAGGATGTCCATTATAGCATTATATTAGTAAAGACCAATTTAATGGCATAAAGCAAAATATATAAAATAATTCAAAGGCTACATCACCTTCACTTCAAAATGGTAAAAAATGTAGGGCCTATTCTAAGAATGACTTTTGGTTGGTAAAAAAAATTAAAACAAATTGCCATAATACAGCCAGTCTAAAAATTGTGTCGGCAGCCGCGGTGCCTTACTAACCAGAAGGTTTAATAGGGCCTATATATAGCCTACCTGTGGGCATATAGTTCGAATGGATTATTCAACCCGGTTTCCCTCAGTGATAGGATGAAATTCTTCTGTATGAAATCTGACCAAAAATATAGAAAGTGGTAATGAAGCTAACCAATCATAAGTCGAAATAATACGTTTGGATTTTTAATCCAGTTTTCCATTGTCAGTGATGAGACGGGTTCCAAATCTTTTGTAACCAAGTTGAATTTTGACCGAAAACTATCAAAAATTGAATTGATGCTAGCCAATCAAATACTGTTAAGAATGATTAGACATGCAGGTCAATGTTTAACAATGAACATCTCAAAAAACTCTTATAAGCTTATTAGTAGGCCCTACAATATATAGGCTATCATTTTTGAACAGAGCATTTGAATTTGTTTGGTTAATTGAAAGTCAAATGGCAGGGAATTAGAGTGATTGCAAGTCCGATCACCGAGAATAAAAGATATATAATAATTTCTTCAGATCATGGATGAGAATTGACGTGGAGTCGCCTGCAAAATATCTGGATTTACAGTTTAATCAAATTACACACATTGAACACTGCATGTCACTGACGGAGATTGATTAGGAGCTCCATGCAATACATTTTAATTTCCTTTCAGCTCATGAAATTGGTTAAAGATGTTCATGACTAAACGGGACTGTAGCTTTAACTTAGTAATCAGTAGGCTATGTTGATCACTGGACCTATTCTCTTGTATCGTGCAATCATAATATAGACCTGAACTATACTCGTTTAATATTGAATTGAGCGTAGAAAACAGGCATGGTTTATTTAGGTTAACACATTATTACAGGACTATATAGTTATAAATAATGGCAGCTACTTTGGGTTTACTAGGTATAGCGGTTATTATACTTGTATTAACATGGATATATCAGTCATATAAACGACAAAAAGTGTTTGGTAAAATACCGGGACCTGCGGCATTACCTATATTAGGCAATGCACACCAACTAGAGACAGATGGAACAAGTAAGTTTTTAAATCCAAATTTGATCTAAGTAAACCAGTCACCCGTTGATAAGCTTATATGTCCGAAGGACTGGTGACTATTTTGTTCACCAGTACTGAAAGAAATATGCAAATACCGACCTAGTACTAGTAGCCTATTACAACATTTCAAGTGCTTTTAAAAATAGAACTCAATAAGAGTTTCTTATCTAAGAGCTTGCATCCAAACAATAGCCGTGTCGAAGATTATAAATGGTATATTTAAAAAGGGGATGTAATAGTAGGCCTATATCAATCCTATAGACAATTCTTTTACTATGTAAAAGCCTGGTAAGCCTCTTTTCTGAGAAGACTCACCCATAGATAACAAGCACGATAAAAACTATTTGTGAAATCTATGTCGATAATAACACAACAAAAATAAACATACATTTTTATCTCATCCGTAACTTATCATTAACTCCTATTATTACCAAGACAACCAAAGAATCTATAAAATATTAACTATATTAAGGATCTTTTCGCCTAATTAGTTCCACAATTGTCAATATCAAAGGTTAATAGTACTCACACGATCATCTTTGGTAAAACTGAATTATTCGGTAGATTCTGGTAAGCCCTGTCCCCAATCTCTAGTCCCATTGGACTTTGAAGCTAACATGGAAGTTCTTTGTCCAGAGGCCTACTCCAATTTTAATAGGTGTTGCATACCAGACAGTGTAGTACAGTAGTATTAGGGTCAAAGGTGGAACAAATTGGTAACAAGCTGATAATTTCAATCTTGGCACCCAAAACCTTTCTAAACAACATATCAGAGATCCTGAAGAATCCTCCTTGAGCTTTTTGATAAATTCAAGATGGCGTCTAAGATGGCCACCGTAACATAATTTTTATACACCCACAAATATAATTTGGGCTTATATTGTAATGACCCTGGAGGTCCGTAAGTCCGTTCACATTTGGTCGTGCTCACTCTGTAATACAGGCTACAATTCTTTACTGATTCTTTTGATTTTTATTTTGTAGGTCAATGTCAGTATGAAGATGATCCCTATCGATTTTCGTGATGATCTGATAATTTGTCCGTCGGTCCGTTCACATTTGGCTCGTGCTCACTCTACAAGCTACAATTTTTTTTACAGATTATTTTGCTTTTTATTTTGTAGGTCAATGTCATTATGAAGATGATCCCTATCGATTTTCGTGATGATCTTATAACATTTCACCGAAATATGGTGTGCGACTTAGTGTTTTCACTCCATTAGCTATATTGTGCGACTCGTAGGCCTACTCACTCTGCAGGCAACAATTCATTGTGGATTCTTTTGCTTTTTATTTTGTGGGTCAATGTCATTATGAGGATGATTTATGAGATAATTTTTCACCAAAATGTCTCTTTCAACTTAGTGTATTCACTCTATTAGCTATTTAGTGCAACTTTTGCTCTCTCTTCAAGCAACAATTCTTTATGGATTCTTTTGATTTTTAAATCCCCACACGTAGTTCACACATAACGTTCAAGGGACAAAAACGAGTACATCCTAATTATGAAAACCGCATTGATGTGGGATAAATAGATTTATATTGTAAATTGTAAATTTATATTTCAGAATTTTATAAACAATGTTTGAGTTATTCAGATGAATATGGTCGAGATAGCATATTTGTTATTTGGCTAGGTCACAAACCAATGATTTGTTTAAGTAATGCGAACTCGGCAGAGGTAAGTACTTTGGTCGTCCTCAAAATATCTTAACATGTGATTATATGAAAGTACATTTGAAAGTTTTCAATAATGCAACCTAAGCTGCGATTGATTCAACTGAATATTTAGTTTAAGAATCGTGCAAGTTGTTCGCAGAATAAAGGTCTGCTGATGTTAATTCAAATGTTTCTTTAATTTATTAATTCACGATTCCATATGTTTTCCTGTACAGATTTTACTGAATAGTTCTAAACATATGGAAAAAGCTTCAGAATACAGGTTTTTACATCCATGGTTAGGTACAGGCTTACTAACAAGGTAAGTCTTACAATAGCACGGAAAGTCGCTGTTTATATATAACACTTTATATCCGTTTGACCAATCTCACCATAGTCTCAGAAGCGGGGATTGTTTAAAAACACTAATAAGTTATAGTGTGCACAGCTCATCGTCGAAATTTGAGCCTTCAAATCCACGTGTGTCCAGAAGTATCCGCGTTTAGAAGTTAAAAAGACGACTCGTCTTTTCTCGAGACTCTGCTATATAGTCTAGAGGAAAGTGTGTAGAAATAGAGAGTGAAATTCCTGGTTTGAGGTATTTTTGAAGGAATTATACGATTTTCGTATATTTATCGTACTACTGAAGACTTTAAGATCCAAATCAACCCCCTAAAATGACGAATCCCTCCTATTAAGAAGGAAACATTTCTTCTTTGACCCTAAGAAAAGTTTAAAAGTAAAGAATTTAATTCCGTTTAATTAACGGTATTGGTTGACATATTTTGATACCTAATACTATACAGCGAAATTCGATTCGCACGTGGCTAGATATACTCATGTTATATATTCATCCATAATAATTGTCTTATTTATCCTATTGAAGCATAAGTTATATACAGAGTAATTTGAAGTTGGTCCATTTGCAACTGTTTTTGCTCTTTTTACCAGTTCAAATCATTTTGAACTTTGTTTTAATTTGTGTTTTATTGTCTTATAGTACTGGTGATAAATGGAGAAGTCGAAGAAAGATGTTGACTCCTACCTTCCATTTTAAGATATTGAATGATTTTGTCTCGGTATTTAATGATCAAGCTGATTTTATGTTAACTAAGTTAAAGAAGAAGGCAGATGGCAAAGTGTTTAATATATTCAATTATATAACACTTTGTGCTCTAGATATTATTTGTGGTAAGAAAAAAGCCAATAAGAAAGGATATATTGAGAATATTGCAAATCACTTTCCAACCATTTTATAAATGAAACGGGATCGATCATGAAGATGCTGCATTAACTTCATAATGCCTATGTGAATTTGTCCACAGAAACCAAGTGATACGTCTAGACGTATTAATTACAAGGATTTAAATTGCTTTTCTTAAAGTTTCTCTGCTCATTAGATTTAAAGCCAGCATTTTGGCAGTTAAACATAATACAGATCACAATATTGCGCCAACTGGTTAGACAGTCTATATCTGTACACCTCCACTATATATGAACATTAGCCGCTTTGAACATAGATGGGATATTTACTGACCGTTTTGAATTCTTTTGACAGAAACAGCCATGGGAAGAGATGTTGGTGCGCAAACTAACAGTGAGTCAACCTATGTAAAAAGCGTCTACAAGTAGGTTTAGTATTTCCAATAACACTTTACATTTGGATATAATATATTAAAGGGACATTCCGCTTTTTGTAAAACATTTTCATTATCAAAAACGTCGTAAATTATTCCTGAAAATATTTTAACGTATGCTATTTATATCTATGTATCTACTTGATGAAACTGAATTTATTTTAAAAGGGTTAATTAACAAATCTCTAGATTTTGGTGTATAGTTATCACAAATTTAGGCAAAAACATTTTTCGACCTACCAAAAACGAAATGTCTCTTTAAACGTTATTTTGCCAATACGTTTACTTGTCATTTGATTGGTAGGCCAACATTTTGATACGAATTTTATTTTATTCCACGTTTAGTTTCTGATTTATTTTTTATTACAGAATGAGTGAATTTGCTCAAAACAGAATGAAGTTACCATGGTATTGGAATGATACGTTATATAGAATAATTGGACCTGGTCGAGAACATGATCAATGTTTGAAAGTCTTGCATAATTTTACTGAGAAAGTGAGTTGGTAAAGACTATAAAATAACGTACATATATTAAGATTGATTCTCTTAATATTATTTGAGTGATAGGGCTTATCTTCTAAGGTGTCTTTAAAAGCTGTTCTTGCTGTCACATAATCTTAAATTTGTCAATATTTTGATTTTGATTTGGGAATGATAGGTACAAATGACTTATTTACTAATGTTTATGTATTTAATCTTCCAGGTAATACGCGAGAAGAGAGAAGAATTAAACAGACGAGGTCCCATGCACGACAAAGACTTTCACGACTCGGCTGAAGAGGACAAATTCGTTGGTGCCAAGAAAAGACGATTAGCTTTTCTGGATATGCTGATACACATGTCTGAAAATGGTGAAAAACTTTCAGAAGAGGATATAAGAGAGGAGGTTGATACCTTTATGTTTGAGGTAATTGATATTTCTTGATTTTCATATCGCCATCGCATATGAATAATTTTAATGGTGGCGCCTATAGCGTTATCACAGAACTGCCGCATGTTGAATCTCAACCTCAACATCTCTCCTCCATTAAGTCAGTCAGCCCACTATTTGTTTCCCGAATCTGAAGCCACCACTGCTCGACGTTGAACTATTTTTCAAATACAAAAATTGCACGACATGCAGAGTATCCAAAATAAATTGAAGCATTACATGTAAAAACTATAACATATCTATGTTAGGGTCATGATACAACAGCAGCTGGTATAAATTGGGCGACGTATTTAATTGGTGCTAACTCTGAGGTACAGACTACACTACAGGATGAACTAGATGGAATATTTGGCAGTAGTGAACGATACCCAACAATGGAAGATTTGAAAGATATGAAATACCTAGATTGTTGCATAAAGGTTAGATTTATTATATATCGGCTGTGATAAGATAAATGATTGCGACAAGAAAGTTTTTATTACATTGTTTTATGTCGCACAAGGCAAAACATTAAAACGCACATGTCCTATATTTTTAGGGGGTCTGAAAAATACTTTATTTCAATTGAAACCTGCAATATTTTTTTTTTATCTTTACCGGAAAATACATCGATTGGTGTGGGATGAATGTTTGATTTGTCGAGGTGCTACATCTACTACTACAGCTGATATTATGTATGTTGATTTGAGAAAACATGAATAAATCAGTAATTGTGTATATTTCATTTAATTACAGGAAGCTTTAAGGTTATACCCTTCAGTTCCAATATTCGGAAGAACATTTTCTGAGGATGCTGTTATAGGTAAGATAATTTATAATCCTTGGTGTAATCCATCTGGCTCGTTTATTTTGCTCCAGCTGATCGTCTACTTATGAATTGTTATTAAGTGTGTCATTTTTTAGAAAAATCGAAAAATATTGAGTTATTGCCCTTGTCCCTGAAAATGCGTTCAATTTTTTGCTGGTCAACACTCCAGAAGGCACAATTCTTTACAGATTTTGACGAAACCCAAAAAGTTAAAGATAGCTTACCAGTTAGGGTAATATACGCCCACTGGCAGCTTTGATTTTATACGAAAATATTTGGCAGTACAGTAACAATTACCAGTATGAAATATTCAACTTTCAGTTTTACACTTCTTTTGAACTTTTTGGGGTGATAATGTAAAATATTACCAAGTCAAAATCTGTCTAAAACTTGAACGCGTTTTTAAGAACAAGGGCAATAACTCAAACTATATATTTTTGGATTCTTCTGATAGGGTTGATAACAAACACTCACACCAAGTTTCGTCAAAATCCATCAGGAATTGTGCCTTCTAGAGTGTTATGTTCTAAACATTGAACGAGTTTTCAAGAACAAGTGCAATAACTCATACTAAATATTTCTCAGTTTTTTTCATTTTCAATAGGGTTCATCCCTTGGTAATTACAAACAATCAAATCAAGTTTCGTCAAAATCAGTTAAGAATTGTGCCTTCTAGAGTGTTTACGAGAAATTGGAGACGGACCAACGGACGGACATGGTGAGCGCCAATATAGGCCTACGTTCCACATTTGACGTATAAAAAGAAGTGTATGACTGAAGGTTGAATAATTCACACTGGTGATTGTTACTGTACTGCCAAATATTTTTTTATTCAAAATCAAGCTAAAAGTGGGCGTATATTAACTTGCCAGGCAAGCTATATATATATTTTGGCAAGTTTATCTCTTATTATATTATTACAGACGGTCACCTGATACCTAAAGGAACAACGGGAAGCATATTTACTGCAGCCATTCACAAAGATCCAAAATATTTCCCTGAACCCGATGTATTTGACCCTGAAAGATTCTCAGATGACAATAAAGTGGGAAGACATCCATTCTGCTATATCCCATTCTCTGCTGGTCTAAGAAACTGTATAGGTTAGTAGATAATAAAAATGACCTTCATTAAAAGTGAAAGGCTCTTGTACTGGTGCATATAGAAGTATAGCCTATTTACAAGTAGACTGGTATCATCTTCACAATGTCAAGCGTAAATGTAAGTGTCACATTCACCAAAGGTTTAAAAAAATTATGTCATTTTCCTTTAATTAAAATCATTATATGATTATTTCCAGGTCAGAAGTTTGCCATGTTGGAAGAAAAAGTCTTGTTATCTACAATATTTAGAAATTTTAATGTCGAATCTGTTCAGAAAAGAGAAGAATTAGATCCAACTGGTGAATTAATTTTGCGTCCAGAAAGTGGAATCCTAGTCAAATTAACCCCAAGAAACTGAAGCATGTATTTCTATTTTGTGAATTTTCCTCAACTTTCGTATTATCAATGATTTGGACACGATGTTATGTCAAATGATTTCAGTATTGTTTTGTAACAATTAATTAAGATTCAGATAACGCTTTGGATGGATTTTGATAAATAATTAGGTAGAATAAGATAACAGTAAAGCTGGGTGCAAATTGAAATAATTATCATTCATTAATCAGATAGCTCTTTGGAAGGATTTTGATAACAATTTGACTGATATTGTAAAGTCCACTATCAAAATAGCCTTAATCTATAATACATTGAAAAATATTCTGATGAAAGCCTGAATAAATTTGGAATACTTGTAGCTTAAAGATGGGTTTTTCTTATTTTTTAGAGTCAAATTAAGCAAATTATTTGATTACTTGGTGTTTTTATTGAATTGTCATTTATTTTTTATCATTTTTATACGCCCACATCTCTCTATGTGGACGTATTTTGTCGGCACCCCTGTCCGTCCTTTGGTCCTTTGGTCCGTCCGTCGGTCCGTCCGTCAACATTTGCTTGTAAACGCTCTAAAAACTAGATTTTTTGATGGAATCAACTGAAATTTAGTATGTGTATACATATTTATAAAACGAAGTTCGAATTTGAGCTATTTTTGACCGTTAGAAGCAGAGTTATTGCCCTTGCCCCAAAATCTTGAATATGCTATTACTCTCTTAGTTTTCAACCGATTTTGATGAAACTTAAAATGGATGTTTCGTTTTTACCATCCGCATGCCGTGGGGGCGTATATGGCTGTGGTCCACTATCTTATTATGTTCTTATTGCATATAATTAAGAGTTTTAACCAATCATAGTTGATAGAGTAGTTGATATTTATAAGACAGTTGACTACATGTTTGTTATGCGCCTAACCGACCCTTCTTACCTCATATTGTAACATACAAATGTCGGCAATATAAGATTCAAAATTGTCGATTTAGTCGATCAAACCTTCAAATACCTCTATGGATTGAGAGACATATACAAATTCGTCCAGAATAAATATGGCTTTATTGTCAACATAACTAAGTGAAATTGACCACAACAGCTATCATTGAATCGATAATGTTATCAAATTTAGTTTTAATTATTTAACTACAGTTTGCAATTATTTGTATCATTATTGATAAATGCAGTTAGCAAATGAAAACATGTTGGTTTTTACTATGGGTCAGGAGAAAGTGTCCTTTTGGTGGCATGCATTCAATTTCACACATTTTTCGCCTTTGGAATTGAAATAATTGCCTTTGATAATTGTTTCATGTTCAGTTTTTGATGGAATACAAGGTATTTTTCCAAGTGTTCATTGGATAAGACTTTGTCGATCATCGTCCCTCAGCTGAACTTTGGTCATGCTAGAACGTTTACCCCCTGGCTAGTATCAAACAAGCAAGCAAGCATCCTACTGTGGCTTGAATGCTATAAATATATTCATGTACATCTGTTTCTCATTCACAGCAATTATATCAACTACCACCTTAGTCCTTGTTTTCTGAGAAACAATACCTGGATTTTGACTTAACACGCTCAATTGATTTGTTCATATGTAACAAGAACTACGTAATTAGTACTAATTATGATATAAAACAGTTAGTGTGTGGGAAACCAGCTAATTACATGTAGGCAAGGATGATAAACAGTTCATGTTGATTATTTCCTGATCAATGTCTACAATAGATACAAAATGACAACTCATATCAACAATTGTGGCATCTCTTTGAAAGTCTGAACAGAAATGTGGTCGCAAGGTTTCAGAATTTAGGCTTAATCGTTTCATTTTGCATGACATGTGACACAGTATGATACATTTTTCGGATATTAACAACACTTGAAGAGTTTCCTTGTTACGTATTGGAGGAAACGGCCATCTATATGAATGTATTTATATGATAAATTAGAGTATAAAAGAAAGGAAATGCATGAGTTTGATTTATTTTGATGTGGATTTTCCGAGGATTGAGTATTTAACATTAAAAATAAGGTAAGACACCTAACGATTTATTTAATTTATTTCAGTACTGTTGGACAAAACCAAGTCCGAAAACGCCTTATTCCGATTTAGAAATATAAAAGTTTGCAGTTTAACCGAACGAGGCTTTAGTTTATAGACGATTGTGTTATCCATCAGAAACAGTTAATTTTTTGTCGGTAGAAAAGATTATGTCGAGAATATATTAGTTAATATATTTGAAATGTTTCTCACGCTATTATTAGTCGACAACCGTCAAATAAAGATAAGGGCAAGGGCCTCACGGAGGCAAATGAATGTTATATACCACAAAGTGCGATAGACCCTCCTTTAGATTGGTAGAGCTTAAATTCATTAGCTGAGAATAATTCATAAATCAATGAGAAATGTGTTTTAATCGAATAAGCTTGCTGAAATTAATTTTGCTATTATGGTCTAAGAAAATTTGATAATAAGCTACATTGGCCATTTTAACATAGCCACGGTAATTTGATCATCTTAATCTATTACTATGCAATCTATATATTTCTTCATGCAGTTTGGATCTGAAATGTGCAGTCCATATGAGTAACAATCTGCATGTTGTCCGGAAAAGAAATTGTTGATCATAATAAATTCCATCTCTAAATCATAAAGAATATTTATAATTACATTTCTTTCACTTCAGAATGATAATAGCTTAATTAGTTCGAGAAAATGGCAGAATCCGTCATGTGGAAATTGTTGCTGTCATTGTGTATACTTGTTGGTACGCCTGTGTTTGCTGGGTACGAACGTTCGTGTAATTTAGAAAGACAACAAGAGGATCCACGAGGACTTTGTGGATCTCAACTAGAATCAATTTTACATAATGTGTGTTTTTATTTAAACAAGAGAGCTTCGCCCAAAGGTATAAGTTAAAAAGAGAAAGTCTTCCTTCTAAAAGAATATTGTTTCTCTATTGTTTGCTTTCAGCATCAGTCTGTAGTATGAAAACCGTGCGTAAATCAGAGCAGGTGCATAATTTCTACTTCTACTGTGAAGTCGAACATACCCTTGCATGCGGTCTGATATTGTCTGATTCCGCAACTGTGTAGCTGCTGCGATTGTTTTCAGTGTGTTGAAAGTGGGCCCTTATACAAGAAAGAGTTAATCAAAAGAAGTTCCAGAGTGCAAGACGTTTATCATGCAAAGTAAGGTGGTAAAGGTGGCTCTCTGTTATACTGATAAAATGTTTTATAAAATAAATTCTATCTTATGTGACAGCAGAGAAGGTGAAGGCTATTCCCGTGAGAATAGGTCATTTGTATACACCCACAGGCAAATGTGGACATATACTGCCCTCGCCCCTGTCTGTCGGTCAACATTTCTTGTGAGTATAATAAAAACTTCAGTTTTTATCTGATTTAATTGGTGTGAGTATTTGTATTGATAAGATCTCAGACAAGTTCAAATTTGACGATTTGACGATGAGTTATTGCCCTTGACAGTTTTCATCCGATTTAAATTAAATTTGGTGTGATCATACATATTGATGAGATCTTGATCAAGTTTGAATTAGGCGATATATCAGTAAACCGTTTTTTATTTATTGCACTTGACTGAAAACCAGAACCATGGTTCACAAATGTATTTATACATGTAGACCTATTTAAGCGCATTTAACAAATGTCTTCTGTATATTTCAGTTGGTCCAGAAAGAGTGAAGAAAAGAATGGATCAGTCAATTAAACTTGACAAATTTAGTGCCTTATCGTTTTTAGTGAAGAGAGGCGATGGATTTGGAAACACTGGAATTACGTGTGAATGTTGTTTAAATCGTTGTAACCTTATTGAACTGTCAAGTTATTGTATTTTGTGAAGCAATTAATGTAAAGTTGTCATAATATTATTGGGTTTCCATTGTACACTTCCTAAAAAGAATGGCTGTCATGCCTGAATAGCAAACTAAGTGGTTTTCTTATTATTTCCCAAATTAAGTCCATGTATACTGTTAATTGAATGTGTATGAACTGATTACATCATATTATGTGGATATTCAAAAAACAACATCAAATCATCAGCTTATCAACTTGCTGCCGACCGTTATTGAATTTATTGTCTTATAAAGTAAAGAATATTAGAATAATAATAAGAAAAAAATTATAACTATATTTATGCCTCGTATTTGTTTCAGTCAAAACCCTCTTCTCCCTAGAGAAATTGTAGAAATCAATTTTATCAACCAACTACAAATGTACCCATGGTAGACCTAGATCATTCTGCTACCAGTATCACGATGGTAGACCATAAATCATTTTAGTACCGGTACCTCAATACTCAGTCAAAGATCATATTAAACTACCAGTATACCTATAATATGTCCTCAGATCATTCGGCTGCATCCCACAACTCTTCTAAAAAAATCAGAATACTTTTCATTAAAAGATCACAAATCAATCTACAGCCAGTATCCTAATTGAAGTAGATAGATTTTTACTTTGAAGCGGGATACTGATGTTGGTTTTACCTTGAAGCGGGATACTGACGTTAGATTGATTTTACTTGGAAGCGTGATACTGGCAGTAGACTGATCTCTCATAGAGGCGGGATACTTGGAGTAGATTGATGTTTACATTAATGAAGCGGGATACTGGCGTTAGATTGATTTTTACATTGATGAAGCGAGATACCGGCGTCAGATTGATTTTACCTGGGAGCATGATACTGGCAGTAGATTGATCTCTCATAGAGGCGAGAGTAGATTGATGTTTCATAGAAGGACACACTGGAAGTAGATTGATTTTGACCTTGAAGCGAGATACTGGCAATAGATTAATGTTTCATACGTTACTTATCCCGTCTTCATTAGCCCACACGGTGCAGAAAAGTAGGACGTAAAACTCCATTCATTTCATTTCATTTAATTTTACTTAGGAGCGTGATACTGGCAGAGGATTGATGTTTCATACTGGCGTTAGATTGATTTTAACTTAAATCGGATACTGGCGCTACATTGATTTTACCTTGAAGCAGGATACTGGCGTTAGATTGATTTTACCTTGAAGCGGGATACTAGCGCTACATTGATTTTACCTTGAAGCAGGATTGATCTTTGATTTGCTAGAGAAATACTACTAGTAAACTAGTATTGGGATACTAGCAGTAGATTGATGTTTGATTTGCTAGAGAGATACTACTAATAAACTAGTACTGGGATACTAGCAGTAGATTTATCTGTGATCTGCTAGAGAGATACTACTAGTAAACTAGTATTGAGATACTTGCCAATGATTTATATGTGATCTGCTAGTGACCCTAGAAGTACAGTGCAAAATGTCCAAAAATGTAATACAAAGAAATAAATTCTATAATTACTTTATCACAGTTAGTTATTTAAATCAATACAGGTTATTGTATATAATAAATAAAATATCAACAATGTACATGAAATAAAATACAGTATATAATCTTAAAATTCTCATTTATCTTCTTTATCATTTAGGCTGTTATACCTGTAAAATAATAATATAATTTGATACAAACCTACAGGTAATTTTATTATATGTTAAACATGATTCCATTGATAGCAATAAGTCTGTTATTAGCAACTTGTATAGTATTACAACATAATAAATATCTTATATATAAGAACTTTTATTGAACTATTACATCAATATGACATCTACTATGACTCCCTTATTAGACATAGTCTGTAGTTAATAATAATAATAATGTTGAACTACAGCTACATCCAGTTACCAAATACTTACTACTATCATCGTTATTTCCATACCAGAACATTTTGGCTTTATTAACTTTATTAATTAGTTTTTGTTGATAAATATTGTTTACCTAAAGGGAGATTGTCCTTTCTTGTTCTAATAATACCAGTAGAACTTGGTGGTCTGGTAGAAATCAATGATGTTCCTGCTGTTCTCTGATAACCTCTGTTCTGGGAAATTCTCTGTTCATATTCTTGAGCTGTTAGGATGGGTGATAAGAGTTAAGGGTAAATAGAAATATTAAACAAAATTACTCATCTCAGGTGTCCAAGAACAAAAATGCTAATAGATGATATAAAAAAATCCTGGAAACCTTCAGCAAACATTTGCATTTCTCGTAGCAAAATTAAAAACTGCACCAACTAAATGTCTGTCCATAGGCTCAAAAAGCCATATACAAAATGATATGAAAAGGATTCTTTATAAAAGTCAATACAGAGTATTTCTATAATGTTATGGTTGATTTAGAAACTTTTTTGAAAGGATATTAGCTCTAACAGGTAGATATAATTTATCAGTTTCTGTAGTAATCTGTAAATTATGTTCTATTCCACCAACACCTGATTCTCCCTCTACACCAACAGCTATAGCAAATAATTCTAATCTTAATTCTGCTCTCATACCAGCAGCTACCTAGAAATTAGATAAGATTGTAATGAGAGTATGTTCACATGAGCAGTGTCATCTTACACATTCATTTTTTATTTCCATCAGTATTTTGAACATTTTCAAAATCTATGCAAATCTGTAAATTCCCAAATATTCCAACAATTTGAATGAAAAAAACTTACAGGTCCTGGTTTATAGATAACCTTTAATCCAGTAGCAGGTGGTGGTTGTTTTATTTTATATCTACATGTATCAACACCAGTATTCTTTAAATACACACTGTAAGAGTATGTATACCCTTCTCTTAATACACCAAAATTCACTTTATCAGGTAGAATATTCAATCCTCTCATATCTTCTAACTCAGCTCTACCTTTCTCAGTAGCTCCTGTTATCATTGTATTCTTTACTTTACGTCTTACTGGTTCTTCAATTTCTAAAAACTACAAACACAAAATATAGAGATTAAAAGAATGAACACTTAAATACATTAGTATCATGTTAGAACATTATTATAGAAACAGAAAGGTGATTTTGTATGAATAATTTTAATAAACAGGGGGCTATATCACCATTACAATTCCATGTGTAAAAATTACATATTTTCAGAGTAATTTGGATTTTAATGGATAATATAAACATGTATGTATTTCTAACAACTTCATATTGGATTATTGCTCATTCAAACTCCAATAGATTTAGTGTATTCAGTTCACTTTCACTTTTATCATACTATTGAAATTAAGAATTCATACCTTAATATTCTTTTCAGCATTTGGTCTAGCACCCATGATAGATTCTGGTAATGAAACAGAGTCAGATCTCGGATCCCCAGTAACAGTTAACCTTAAACTTTTAGTGAATTTATCACTTTCTCTTGAAGGTCCATTAGATGTGGACAGAACTAAATAAAAAAAATAATAAACCAACTTCTGTATCATACTTTAAGAATAGTCCAATTTGCAAGTAACAAGCAATATTTCATTTAACAAAGTCAATGTAACATCCATGCAGACATACACATTATCATGTTTTTTCTTTGTCATCTGTTTACATCCTAATTCGTAAATTTACTAAGACTTACTTGTATCATCATCTTCCTCTTCTTTTATTGTCACACTTTTTCTAATAGATGTCTGATCTCCATCAGAAGGTGTTGAGGTAATACCACCTGCTCGTTTTGGCGTGGGATTTCCTACAAGTCAGAACAAATACAAAATTATGGGTATTGAGGTTTCTACACAAATTCTGTTGAAGAACTAACAGTTCTTATTATTACTAATAAAGGCATATCATGATTCTTACAGCTGATATACTCCACAAATTAATTGCATTTTTATATATAAATATATATATTCTTACCTGGTCTGTAGGGAGCTGATTTTCCTACTTTATTTGGTGTTGGATTTTCAGGTCGTACCGGTGCTGGTGAACCCTGTCCAGTAGCATGAGCTGGAGTTGGGTTCAAAGGTCGAACACCAGATGGTGTTGCATTAGTATCTAAAGTACCAGCTAGAAAGAAATCATATCCAAAAATTTTTAAAGAAAATATTAAAGAATCAATGTCTTAGTATGTCTGATTTGGAAGGTAATTAAAGCCATTCGTTACCAAGGTAACTGTAGATTATATTTACCTGTATATGCAGATATTGGTGTTTCCAGTTTAAGACTTCCTTGACTAACACCATTAACACCTGGAGATACTGATGTCACAGACTGATCACTATTTTCAGATACAACAACAGCTTGAGCTAAAAAAAAAGGCATCCTTAAAAAAAGTCCAATGCAAAACAATAGATCTTATATTCCTAATTATTTCAAAAGAACTATCACAAACTGATCAATATTATGTCTACTGCTTTCAGCCAGGTGTTGTTCATTTTCAAATTGCTATAACACATTGTTTGACCATCTTTTTGCTTTTTCATCAGTCAATTTAGACTATAGACCTGCAGAGCACCAAATTATTATCATTCGTGAATAATGCATAAGGCCTAACTAAATACCGTACATGTTGACCTCAAGAAGTATAATGGAGAAATTAATAGTTTGAACTGAACTACATTACTACTTACATTGTGTTGGTAAACCAGTACTTGGAGTTGGTGGTGTTCTATTAATACTATTATTATCTCCATTAACTACTTCAGTACCATCACTCTTATTTTCTTCATTCTCAACTTTAACTTCTTCTCTACCTTTAGACTATAATGGGAATAACATTGATAAGTATTTTAGAAAATATTTTTACTAAACAGAGACCCTGATCTTCACTTTAATATATACTTCTGATGGATAAGCAAAAAAAGTGAATCTTGAACAAATTAAAGAATAAATTGTAACTTACTTGTAACTGAAAAAATGCCATTCCCAATTCACTATCAAAGTATTTTGGGATAGTTTTATTTCTTAACATAGCTCTTCCTTCAAGTTCTAAAGCAATTTCTTTTTGATCTCTTTCCCAGTCTGAAGCTTTTCTTTTAGGCATTGGTGTTGGTGGTGGACTAGGTTCTGGAGCTGTAGTAGCACTTTCATATATTTCTTTAACAGTTGCTGTAATCAAACATATAACAGTTACCATACGTAATATACAAGAAGTGTATATACAGAAGTACTTCTTTTGGTGGTTTACAAGTTATAGAATACACTTGATTGCTTTAGTATCTGATTTGGACTGTTTTTATAGTTATAATAAAAGATAGAATTTTTGTTATGGTCGTCGACAAAATTAGGTTTCTTTCACCAACATCATCAAGTATTACAAATGATGTGATACCATAGTTGTAACAAATATTTATAAAAAATGTTATAAATTTTGACAGGTGTTTTACCCATTCCAACACAATTGTAGCAAACATATTATCTTATTCTTAAGTTATCATGCTTTTCTTAAGAAATCACCATGCTTACTTGGATCATATGATGGTTGTTCTTGAAGTTCTTCACATCCACTCCCTAACTGCCTAGCAACACTTTTATTTAAATCATGTGCTAGCATCTGTTCTTTTTTACTCCTTGGATCATTAACTTGCATCATTTCAGATTCTTTATTTCTGGCCATTACATATTCAGCATAACTACGTAAACCATTACATAATCTACAACAGTAAAAACAAAATAATAATATCAAGTTCAACAAATTTAACTTTTATTTTGCTGTTTGAAATAATATTTTGGGTTTCAAAGGTTAATGAGTTTACTTACTTGATGCGTAGTGGATCTGTTATAGGCTCGTACTGTACCAATTGTCTTATCTCTAGTATATCTGGACATTTCAATATGGCCACACGTCTTGACGTCTTCTGTGTAGAGCCAATAGCTAGACCTTTACCAACATTAGTACCAAATGGAGGTCCAGGTTTCTTGTATTCTTTAGGAGGTAAATTAGTCAAATCTCTGGATCTGATACCATTAGGTATGATAGAATCCAAATCATAATCTTTAAACCATTGTTGAGATGGTCCACCAAGGAATGGTTTTAAAACATTAATACCAAAAACACCAGGACACTCTGTTATAGGATCTTTACAAACAGCTATAGCTGGATTCTTTTCAGCTACCTCCAAATATTCCTGAACTTCTTTAAATCTTAATAACTCACTACCACTACCATCAGGGTGAATCATGAAGAATCGTGGAGCATGTTGATGATAATGAGTAATATGGTGCTTACTGGATTCAGCTACACTAGACTCTGATGAGAAACCATCTTCTCCATTAGCTAACATTACAGAGAAATCTCCAGTATGTTTGACATTAAAAATATTGCCTTCAGTATCGACAGTTTCACAAATGACATCAGCATTATGACGTAAAACATATTGTAATTCTCTTTGTAAATTATCTTTAGGTCTGTCAAGTCTAGCGTAATATGTAACAGTGCCCTCTGTATCAACTTGTATACGTCCACCATCTATATGTTGTATCATATAAAAACCATCAGGAAACACATTCACACTAGTGTTATTACCAAATATGGTCAGGTTTTCACTGGTAGAACAGTTAAACTCTACAGTAGCATAGGCTGGACATTCAACTTTCACAAATTTGGTAGTTCTTACATCAGAGATGGGAGTTTCACCTGAAAATATTACACCATTTATAGAAAATCAGCTCATACAAGACTATTCTATTAAGACCATCTAAAGAGCAAGAGATTTAGTTGAATACAGACATATATTTTTTTTTCACATGAGCTACAAGGTTGACTAGAATCTAATATGAGAATATGACAGTGGGTGTTGCTATGTAATGTTGTTTAACTTTCTGGATAATGAACAGTATCAACACCAAATGATCCACTATGACTCCTTACAAATTAATGAAATACTAAAGAAGGTCTTATTACAGTACAAACCTGTCTCATCCTCATCATCTAAAGGTACAGCACTCTCACAGTAATAAGTTGTTATACGTGTACCATCACTATGTTCTACTATTGTAGTACCATCAGGATAACTTACTGTTACAACTTTATCATCCCTGGTTGCCATTGACTACAAATTAGAGAGCAGAGTTTCAAAAGTGGACAAAACCCAAAACACAAATATTGAATAAGGACTTTTTGATCATACTTTTTCTGAATAAGCTTGCATTCATATTCTTTTTCTTTGAAGTCTTAGATGTTACGTTCTTGGAAAAGAAATTATTGTATTCATTATTCTGGTGTAAAAACTAAAGGTGGTGAACTATTGAATCAGGTAGAAATCTAAAATTCTAAAAAGGTAACTATACCTGTCTTGTTTCAGGATCAGAAGCTAGACAGATCATAACTGGTTTTAAATCTTCAACAGTACCATCAGTTCGTACTGAATACTTCTCACCATTAGGATAAGTTGTTATCCATCGACATTTCTTTTCTTCTTCATCAACAGGAGCTTCTTCTTGTTTCTTAGCTGATAAATTTTTACTACTTCCTTTAGATCTTACATCTAAAAATAAAAAACAGCTTCCGTTAATTTCAAATTGAGAAAGGCTAATTCTTAGTTTAGAGCAGAAAACATCTGGCCAAAAAATACCTTGAGAACCTAAGTTTCTATCCTTGTGAAATATATATATGAACTAAGCTTACTTTTCTTAGTAGGTGAATCACTGCGTCCACTAGTATTTCTCTGTGGTGAACTGTTTCTACTGGATGCTAATGGCCATTTACCAACTCTACTACTAATAGTACCATCAGCATATAATACCTTCAATATGTCAATATGAATGAAGTAATAAAACAATCTATGTAAACTAAAGACATTTCCAGATGGAACAGCTGTATGAAAAAACTGTTGCTTGGTTACGTCAAATGGCAGTTGTTGGATCTAACTTTCGGCGGAAAGTCTGAAGACATTAAACAATTCATCTTATCATTTTAATCCAATGAGTACAAATAATCTTGGAAAGATCAATGCCATGAGGTTTAACAGAGAGTATAAATTATAAAGCAAGTATTAAACTCTTACCTCAACTGTACCATCTACCATAGTTTTAACCACAGTACCATCAGATGCTATAACACGAGATTGTTCACTTAACATATATTTCTTTCTTCTGGATTCACAAGCTTGTATACCTTTAGTTTTATATGGGTAGGATTGTTTTACTAGTAGTCTTCTATCCAATACTGAATCAGCTTTAATACCTACATAAATAGACAAATAAATAATCATATAGACCAACATTTAAAAAAAGAATTTTGGAATTAAATGATATGAAGAACAGGTAACATAAACAAAATGAAATAATCACACAAAGTTGCATATCAATGGGGATGTTTCACATAAAACAGTCAGTGTGAATTACGAAAATTGTTATACCAAAGGAATAAGAAACATTGCATTTGATATTTCAGCAATTAAACACTTCTCAAAAGTTTATCATGTTAAAACTTTACCTATAGAACTCTCAAGGAAATATCTAACATGTAGACCGTCAGGACAAGTTAGAAATAGTTGTTGAAAGCTTTGATTTGATGAATTTTGATCATCTTTTGTATCTTCTTCTTTGTCACCATCTTCAGCCTTATAAATAAATTGTAAACATTTCAGTCTTAATACAATTAAAAAGGTTATTTTTGGAAAAGATTTTCATGTAAGAAATAAATTCACAAAACAGTGTCGACTCTCACCCTGTAATACCTACCTTATCAATATAAAATTGAAGCTGGAATTTTTATGTCAGAAAGCAAAGAACAACATTATGAATTTGATACTGATATTCAATCACTGGAAATGTCTTTCCATTCCATATATATACCTGTATTTGTGGGGGTTCTGGTGTTGGAACTCCTTTCTCTTTCGTCTTTTCACCTTTTTTACCTTTACCTGGTGAAGCTGGTTGTGATACTGGTGTAGGACTTGATACTGGTGGCATGTATGGTTGAGGTTCATATTTTTTACCTGAAAGTTTTATAATATATATTAAAATTTCTGAATAATAAATGGTCTACTGTTATTTAAAATTTGATATAAGAATAAGACATGATGGTACTTGAAAAGTACTGGTTAACATTGTATTCCAAACAACAATCTTACCTTCTGGCACCTCTCCTGTAGAACCAAACTGAGATACAGCTAGAGTCATACCATCATTTAATGTAGCAGTCACAGAACCAAACGAACTCTTTACGACTTTTTTACCTTCCGCACCTGCCAATAAGTGATTTTCATAAGTCAATGATAGCAATAAATCAGGAGCAATCAAAATTGCCAAAAATCACGTTGTTATGGAAAATCCAAATATTCACAAGCAATAAAATTATTTCAAGCAAATTCAATGACAACTGAGACAAGATAATGTTTCAGCGAGGGAGGGGAGAAATTTCTAAACCTTTGTTTGTTGACATCAGTCTTTTTCTCTCAATTTAGTATGGTGATATAAAATGTCAAATAACATTGATAAATATAAATATTTTAGAATATTAGATAGTAGAAACAACTATGTACCATCTTTTTCAAACTTCTCCTGCTCACATTTTTCAGGTAAATCTTTCTTTTCCTCTTCTTCATCTTTGTCAAGTTGCTGTTCTTCTTCTTCATCTTCACTGATAATCTCATCTTCCTTTGGTTCTAGTATATGTACTGAGAATATATGACCATCTTTTAGTACTGTACTATTGATGCTAGTGGTACCTGTAGAATTAGAAATTAAACACATTTAACTACCAACTCCAGAAATTCAAGCTCACTGATGTCCTTATGTTCTATACTTCAGAAGTACTAATGGCTATGCCATACAATGTACACACAATTTTTAACTTAGCAAGGCATTGACTTGTAAGTCTATAAATCTATCACTTACTGAACCTTGATTGTCAAACTTTATATTCAAATAGTCAAATGTTTTGTGCTTAAAGGAAAAAAGAAAACATGAACAATAACAGTGTGGAACCAAAAAACGACTCTGAATTATAGGAGATCTTAATGCTTCTCTACAACTGTATATAATTTAAATTACCTTGAACAAATTCTGTTCGTTCCACTCTAATTTGTCCTCCATCAGATGGAAATAATGATGTCGTTATACCAGAAACATGGATTAGATTATTACCTACATCAAACCCTGTAAACTGAAATAATAACATACTTCATAAAAAAACAGTTCCAAGTTTAACTACAACTTGATTTAGTATTCCTCAACATAATGGATAACACCTTATGATTTACTAAATTCAATGGTATCCAAGTAATCAATGTGCAACATTATGTAAAATTAAAATATTAATCAAAACCAAAAAATTTACTCACTGGCCAATATTTTTCTTCTTCATGTAAATCTAATGGAATAGATTCTTGTTGAGGTTCAATTTCTTTCGTAGATGTTTTGGATTTAGCACTTCCTCTAGATCCAGGTCTCTTCTTTTCCTTCTCTTCTTTCTCTTCCTATTAAAGGAAAAAAAAATGTTGGAAACAGTTTTTATGTGGCAGTGGAAAGGCCTAGTCAGAAGCTCAGTTGAATTGTTGTCGACTTGGACATTAGTTGCCATGGATTCATATATTTCCCCTTCAAGGTCATACATGTGTCAAGGTATAAAATTTCCTGTTACATGGTCACTTTAATCTGCACCTTAACAGCATGTATATTACCTTTTTCTGACTGCTCTTAGATCTCTTCATTTGACTCAGTCTTTCTTTCTCTTCCTCCTCAGCTTTAATTTTATCAGCTTCTTCTTTCTGAGCTTTTAAGGAGCCTGCCCTGATAAACTGAGAACTCTTTTCACTAGCAAGTTTCTCTACACTACTATTTCTTGAGGTCTTTGGACTCTTAGTGCGAGCTGCAAAACAAATTGTACATAAAACAAACTAGAAGACCAATATCTTCCAAAATTCAATTCATTTCTTTTTATACATTTTGATGTCAAAGCCTTAGAACTCTACATATTTAGAAGTATAGGCTTACCTCTAGATGATTTTTTAGGAGAATCGGGTTGTTTCATTTTTTCAGCTAATAAAGCAGCTGCTTCATCTTCAAATTGAAGTTTTTCAACCTCTTTCGATAACATTTTAGCATCATATTCAGCTTGTTTCTCTTTTAACCATTCACCAATAGATTCTTGTACATATTCTATATAATTCCTGTAAAACACAAGTTATATAATAGTCTATCCTCTATAGCCAACTAGTGCATGTATTGTCTTGATATATCATGATTATGTCTTAACCCTTTCAACCCTAGCCATCAGTCTACAAGCCACAATATCATGCAATTTTTACTCAAGCTACAGATAATCTTATTATCTATCTATCTATTGAAACCACTCTTTAGAATGAACATTCCTTTGACTTAATGTATCCTTTTCCTTTCTAATAATGAGGACATTTGCACCAGTAGCATTATTGTTTGTTTAATAAAAAAGATAAAATTTAAAGAAATATGTTACCTAAATCCCATATTGGAATGTAATTCAGTATGCCAATCTACATGACTCTGTAATTCTGAATTATGTGGAGAATGTAGAACTAACATCAAGGAATGGTCTCTTTTATTATAATAGGTATTAACAAATGGCAGATAATATGCTGCATCTCTCAAAACCTGTAAAAATATTTTAAAACTTTTATACAAGTAACTATACAAGTTAAATCACTAAAGGACAATATTTTTGTCAAAAAGACAAAATTATTAATTATCATAATTAACATATTACCTGCAGTAACACATTAGGTTCATAATATTCAGAAATACAGAATTCATCTAAATTACGTTTCTGAGCGTCCACTACTTCCATCATACTATCTTCTATAGTCTTTTCTTTTATATCTTCTTCTTTTATTCCTTCAAATTCTTTCAGTTCATCTGCATTTAATGGCAGTGGTTCACCTTCCTCTTTCATAAAGTGAACTGAAGAACAATAGAAATCCTGATAAAATCAAGAATACACAAGATAGCTTGCCAGGCAAGGTAACATATACGCCCACTACCAGCTGTCCAGAAATGATAACAAAATATTTAGTGGCTTAATAATGAATTTTCAAATAATCTTAATATCATCTATAAGTCAAGGCAAAAACCTGTTCATAAAATTAACAACAAATTCAAACATGAACAATGTTTCATCGTTGTACACACAAGGGCAACAACTCGGAAACTGTTCATCCAATTATTACCAATTTCTAACTTAACCGAGATCTCATTAATATATACATGCATCTAGTTTCATCAAGATTGGATAAAAACTGTAGTCTCTATCGTGCCTGCAGGCTGAATTTGACAAGTTTTTACTAAGTCAAGGGCAATAACTATGAACCCTTCATCCGATTGTTACCAATTAAGAACTTGACTGAGATCTGATGAACATATACATGCATACCTAGTTTCATCTAGGTTGGATAAAAACTGTAGTCTCTATCGTGCCTACAAGCCAAATTTGACGCGTTTTTACTAAGTCAAGGGCATTAACTCCAAGACCATTCATCCGATTATTATGAATTTCGAACTTGACTGAGATCTCATCAATATATACATGCATACCAAGTTTCATCAAGATCAGATAAAAACTGTTGTCTGTATTGTGCCTACAAGCCAAATTTGACGCGTTTTTACTAAGTCAAGGGCAATAGCTCTGGAACCGGTCATCCAATTATTACCAGTATCGAACATCAATATATACATGCATACCAAGTTTCATCGAGATCGGACAAAAACTATAACCTCTATCGCGCCTACAAGAAATGTGAATGGACGGACGGACCGACGGACAGGAGCGATGGCAATATACGTCCAAATTTCCATGTGGGTGTATAAAAAACCAGCGTTCTATAGTCATAAATAACACTAACTCAGAAACAAGCCAAGCCATAATGATACTGTGTAATTTGATAATTGGTTGTGAATCACAGCTGTGCTGAAACAGAAATTGTATGTGGATATCTGGTTTTTTGGATTGTCAGAAAGCAGTTAAATGAGGCTCCACTGTATTTCCGTATTGTTGATTTCTCATTTCTGTTCAGTGAAATTTTAAGTTACCTCTTAGGATCTAACTCAAAGGTGTGGAACTTTTTTCCCTTTTCCCAGAAGTATTGAAATAGATTGTAAATTAAAAATATATGTTAAGATAAAATTAGTTATCATTAATTAATATACCGTATATTAAGAAAAAGACATCTTCTTACCCGAGTTACTTCTAGACCGTCCACCATGAGTAGGAGACTGAGATCTAGACCTAGGTTTTAATATTCCTTTCTTACTATCAGAGGATGAAGGCCTAGATTTAGTCTGAGATACATTATCTATTATATCATCTACAAAACCAACTCTTGATGACCTAGTTTCTGGTACTACCATATCATTATCTTAAAGAGAATAGACACAGTTTCGAATATGATAATAATACAAATTAGATCTGACATCAGCATTTTTCTTCTTTGAACTTTCTCTCTAAGTTTGAAATTCAGGGTTCAATCCCTGGACAGTTGGAAATTGAAAAAAAGTAAGCTAATGTTTATGTGCCGACACACCTCAAGGTAGTGTCCATCTTCATGAGTCCAATCAGGTGCAGAAAAGAACATTGGAATATTCCATGTCATTTTTCATACTATGTACTGTACTATCACACTATTCTCATACTACTGTTAATAATAATTTAGGCTTATGTAAATAGAAGCCAAATGTATATTTTTGTGGCCTTTCTTTTCAGACCTTTTTCTTTCTAAAATAATCAAAACACAAACTCACTTATTTTTTCTTCATAAGAAGAAGCAGATGACTCTGAAGGAACTTGTATATCAAGATGTTTTTCATGATGTGGTATCATTCCTTTAAAGAATGGATAAGGATCATCCCAGGGTATAGCAGAATGTTCCAGACCTTCCCCTTCTAATGTCATTATAAAACCATTAGAATCTGTTGTAGTAAGATCCATACACTCAAATAAAAACTGTTTAAACGCTCTGTCTATTTCTAAATTACACAAAAAATAAAAAATTAGATTTGACAAGTTTAAGCTTAACTGTCTAATGGAATATATTAAGGTACATTTGTTCAAATAACTCTTTGAGCTCATTCTTATTTCTTCACAAAATTTAGCATCAAAATGTCTTAGAAAAAATCAAAATATATATATCAAAATTTATTGTAGGAATAGAAAAAAAATTCATACCAGCTTGGGTCATCATTTCATTAGCACAGAAATGGATGAGTTCCTGTAATCTGGCTGCTCTTTCTTTAGCTACAGGTGTGGTTGGTCTCTCTAATTTTACCACTTCACTAAATGGTGAAAACTGTAACATGTCTTCTTCAACTTGTTTAGGATCCAGAGAATACTGTGGTTTAAGGTGATGACATCGTACTGTATTTTCATCATGATAGTTCATTAATAATGGTTGAGGAGGTGCATTAGGTGGGATCTCTGGTAAATCCATTGTTTCTCCTAATGACTGCAAATAATTACAAACAGTTTAACTTCAATACAATTCAAATGAAATTAAAAGAACTAGAACATACTATTCATTGAGTTAATAACTCTCGACTATTGTGAACAAAACTTCAATTAACAAAAAAAAGATTTTTAACGAGTCTTTTCAAATGATTTTATCATTGAATACATTCTAAAACAAAAGAACAAATAAAAACAAACTTATATTGCTTTGTCCTAAAGTGACAGGTACGCCATTTTGGGGGGTTAATTTGAGTTTTGAAAATATGTAAATAGCCTTCAGTACTAGAAATGTACGAAAATCCCATAATTCCTTCAAATATATCTCAAACTAGGAATTTTACTCACTATTTCTATATATGTTTTTTCTATATATCACAAGACAGTTGTCATCTTTACATTGAAATGCAGATAATTCTGGACACACATGAATTTGAAGGCTCAGATTTTGACGGTGAGCTGTGAATACTATTATTGATTGGCTTAGCTAAAAAAATTCCCGTTTCTGAGAAACTAGTATGATTGGTCAAAAACAATGGCATACCTGTTCCTTTAAAACACACTTCAAATCAATAGCATATGGTTTATATTTAATTAAATTACTGAAAATAAATAAGCTTAGACTTACTTTATGTTCATCCTCTGATAGAGCTAGTTTAAAAGCCATAGAACTGAGATATGAGGCAAGTTGTGGATTTAAACCATCAGAACGTTGTGGTGGTACTTGTTCACTGGGTGGCTCTTTATTTTCTTCTGTAGCAACAACCTGTGAGACAACATAAAATGTAATTATCATGTAATACTCACTAATCTATTAGCTATGCAAGTAATTATCTGGCATGAAACTCTGATATATATTATCTGGCATGAAACTCTGATATATATTATCTGGCTTGAAACTCTGATATATATTATCTGGCATGAAACTCAGTCAAATTTATAGCCATCAAACAATTTTGGGTGGGCTATATTTTATTCATTTAATACCCCAGTTCATTTAAATAACAAAATTAATGGAAAAGATTCACATCAAGAAGTTTATTTAAGGACCAGCTGGCAGAAAGGATCTCATGTTTATTACCTGTTCCAACATACAATGTAAAATCAAAGGTACACTGGCACTTTCTTGTGGCACACAGTTCATCAAATCACTATAATATCTCATATCAACAGATGGTGCTTCAGTGGCACTATCAGGTGGTAATGCTGTAGCACTGACAGGTGCAGCACCACCAGGTGCAGGTGTAGCAGCAGAAGCAGTTGACTGTCCATCTAAAAACATTCAAAATAGAATCATAGGATCATCAGTAAAATATATATCGGAGTATAATACAAACTTAAACCAATATATATATATATATATTGCATTGACAAATTGAATATACTGTAAATTAATTAACTGAAATTTGACAGACTGCTAGGAAAAACAAAAGAGTAAAGGTTTATGTTTAGTTACCTATATGTTGTATATGAGGTTGACCAACTACTGGTACATGAGATAATTTTAAATTCTCTAAATAGGTGTGATACAGTCTTCTTGAATCTATTAAATCATATATTTTACAGGCTACATCTTCAAATAGCGTAGTACAGAAATTCAGCTGAAATGCAATTAGATTAAATGAAAAGCTTAACACATTTTTCTTGTAGATCATTTCTTGTAAGATTTTTATTTTTGACAGCCCTGTTAATATTGCTCCAATGTTAAGGAACTTCATAATAGAAATAAGTCTGATTTTATTATATTGAATTATAAAAATCATGATTGAGCAGTTTGACTCTTAGATTCAAGCGAAACAAACCTTTTGTTCAGGATCTTCTATATTACTAGGAAATAAAATAGTTTTTATTTCATAATCTAATATAGCGATATCATGTAGTTTAGAATTATCAGAATTCTTCTGTAAAACCAGCAAAATATCTTTCCAAAACTTCTTTAATTCTTTCTTTAATTGTTTTCTCTCTTCTTTCAAAATTAGCTCTGCATCTGAAACATTATGATTACAAAAGTTATCAGTGTTACTCAAAAGGTGTGAAAATAAAACAGTTGTGTCTTTATGAATAATTAGGTGGACGAGCTCAAGTAGGGGCCAAAAATTGTCTAGGGGGAACTCAATGATAAAAAAATGTGAAATTTCAGAGAGGGCCAATGCTTGGCCAACCATATCAAAATAATCTTCAAAAAGTTCATGCTCATCCTTTACTGAGTCATCCATTTATACTCACTGGCTGCCTTTTCATCAGGATTATTTTCTGTTGATGGTTGTTGAAAGATGGAGTAATCTTGTGATGAGATACGTAATATACAGTCTACATTAATACCAACTTCACTCAGATGAGTAAATAAATGTGGTTGATGGAAACCATAAATTATAACATAATGTTGAGCTCCATCATCTGGCTCATCATCTACAAATAAATCATAACATTTTCTTATTTTGATTTCCAGAAATAATTGTCAAATATAGTTTACAAAATCAGTAGCAAATATTGAAAATCAAGTTTACTGACATATAGACATTACAATAAATAAAACTGAGTAAGCAACATTAGTAAATTCTCAAACAATTATAATCATAAAACTGAAATGTCTTTCATAGTATACTTTCAAAGTAGACCCTTGCAGACATTAACCAGCTTCATAATTATTTTTCAAAAACGTGATCCGAATGAAACTTACCAAGAAATTTACTTTCAACATCTTCCTCTCCACGTTTTCTAAGTTTACTGCCTTCTTTAGCTGATGGAGGTTCAGGTGTCTTTTTACCACCTTTTTTACTGGGTGACTTTCCTCTGTCTTTACCACCTTTATCTTTTTTCCCTTTATCTTGACCTGATGCAGCCTATAAATAGAATTAATAATATGCCAAATGCTCTTAACCAGGACCATTTTAAGCTGATAATGCTACCAACTGTTTAAGTACCTTAAACTAGATCTCTGGTCAGACTATAAATTTTCATCTATACCCAAAACTCCCAATGTTTCAAGTACCTTAATTCTGGAGTTTCTTCTCTAGGTAAGTGAGCAATATCATTTTACTTACTGTCTGCACAAGTTTGTTAGTACCAATATATCAAAGTTTAATTTTAATACAAGCTTATAAACACTACTGATAGTCTTACAATATCATTTCAAACAGAAAAAAACAGACTTTCTTCCCAGACATTGCAACCAAAAATGTCCTGTAATCAAATTTCAAAGTAATAGCATGTTTATATTTTTATAACCCAAATTCAATCTTATACTAACAGTACTATTTCTAACCTGATTTTCCATTATTCAAAATTTTCATTTCAAGGTGAGAGTATGAAGTAGATATGCGTTTAGTTTCAAGTTCCAGTAACTATATTGTCTATAGAAGCCAGATATGAACAAATAGAAAAATGTTAACGGAGAATTCAAGCCATTTTGATTAAATTAATAAGCATTCATATAGCAAACACTCTGTAACATGACATCTTACACAGCACAATATCTATGTACATACATGTACATGCACATAAATAAAAATAATCGGAGTGATTCATGACAACATTAAAACATATAGACTTTGTTATTTCACCACAACATTCCTTACCTCTGGTGCATTTGCCTGACAATACAAGAATGGCATTATAAAGGATCAAATATCATTTAGTGCCATAAATCAGTAATAACAAAATAAAAAAAACAGTATTTCTTTTTTGACATAATTTTTTTGTAATTTATTGTAGATATATTGTGTAAAAAGTAATTGAAATAGTAAAGCTTGACAAAGAAATTGTTGTTTAGTTAATGTAATTTTCCTTATCTTAAATCAAATCTAAAGTAAAAACTGAACGTAGCTGAAATTAAACAGGTATGACTGGATTTTTATTCAATATCAATATTTAAATATTAAAACAGAACCTAAAAAAACATGTTCTTACTAGGAATTTCACACTATGTGATCTTCAGACAACTGACCTATCTTCAGCCTGTGTTCCTACTGAAATAAGTAGGACATATTCTCATGTGTATTGTATAAATTCATTTTGACTCACCTTCTTTTCAAGCTCCCGTCTTTTTAAATCTTTTTGTTTAATATTCAGTAGTCTGTATTTGATGAGCTTGGCCAGTAGAGGTAGAGGTATCTCATCTCCAAGATCAAGATGTAATTTACATGCCTCACAAATTTCAAAATTTTGAGGATTTTCTTTGGTCTTTTTAACTTTTGGATTTCCAAGATCTTGCACCTGCATTGAAAAAAATATAGAATAGCATTAAGAAATTTATCATCTCTGACTAAACAGTCAGTCATAACATATCTAATAGTAACTAGCTTAGATGCAATTACGAACAATTCATGAACATTATATCATCAATCTATAACCTTATACTAGGTGTTACTAAAAAATAATACTTGAAATTACCTACCTCTTGTATCAAATCGTCTTTACTAATAAGACTAAACAATTTTCTAGTACCACCTAAAACAGCTTGTCCCAATAATTTTATATGTGAATAATCCTCTGGTGAATTCCCAACCACAAAAGTTATATTTGATTTCCAATTCTCCTGTAAATGATAAATTTAATTATTAAAACTTCAAAAACTTAATACATCTAACAAAACTTTGATTTTCTTGTTATAATAATCAGTTTCAGTTTAAATGAAATTAATCTACATATTTCAGTACAAAACAAACAAACAGTAAATATGACTTCTTTCGTTAGTTTGATTTGGGTTTGAAAAGATTTTAATCACAGCCATAAAAAGGTCTCATTATTACAAGATCTAGTGTCAACAAATAAGCTTATGCAATTTATTGACTTATTTACGGTAAGGTGCAGGATGGCCAACAATTATATATGTTGAAAAAAGTCCAACTGCTTTAAGGGTCTTATATATAATATAGGGCCTCATAATAGGGTCTCAATGCGCTTTAATAAATAGCGAAAAATTTTGCACCTGTTTCAGTTGTTAAACCTTCTCACAAAAGGTGAATGAATAAAAATATGGCTAGACTACTTTTTATTTTACATTCTTGAATATTGATCAGAAAATACAAAAATTGTAGGCCTACAACTTCAATGTCTACAAGATGTCTTTGACGAAAAACATGAGTTTTCACCAATTTTTCATAAATCTTCAATCTTATGTCCTTGAAATTATACATAATATATATTATTTCCAAAGCGGTTGAAGCTTTTGGACAACAAAACAGACAAAAAATAGTCGTTCTACCTCTTCTAATGGCGTTGATTGCAAAGCAATATCCCATTTAGATCCTCCTTGTGGTGCTGTTCCACTTTTTACACGTTTTCCAGCCTTAGACATGTTTAAAAATTGTTTGAAAGTGGTATCATTCGGAGTTGATTCAAGCAAAGAGAAAAATAACTATTCCTTGGTAGCCATCTTGTTTGTTGTTGCTATGCATGAACGCATGCCCAGTACTTATTTCCGTTAGATTATTTATCCAGTAGTGTATATGTACCCGATCTATCCAGTCGTTTAGATAAAGTGAAAGTATACTGTAGGTGTCATGACGTCTTGATCACTTGAATATTTCTAAAATTTCGTTTATTTTCTAAAGATGATGAGGCCAAGAAGTCTCCAACACATGCTAAGGGTTACCAACATGTGCCAATTATCTAATGTCTGTAAAAGGTCATCTTATCAAGTAATTATAAATGACTTCGGCAAACCAAATGAAGTACTGGAAGGTGTTTATGTAGAAGTTCCTAATAAACTATCTTCAAATCAAATTCTACTAAAAGTTTTAATGTCTCCTATAAATCCATCTGATATTAATATGATAGAAGGAACCTATCACATCAAACCTTCTCTACCAGCAGTTGCAGGAAATGAGGGAGTTGGAGAAATTTTAGAAGTTGGGGGTGCTGTTCAGGATCATCAAGTTGGAGAAAGAGTAATATATTCTGTTGCTGATAGAAGTCAGTGCCAGTTGGGAGCAGGAACATGGAGACAGTTTTCTATTGTAAATGAAACAAATATTATAAAAGTTCCAAGCAATATTTCGTTAATTGGTGCTGCTACTTTAGCTGTAAATCCATGCACTGCTTATAGAATGTTAAAAGACTTTGTTAAGTTGAAAACTGATGATGTTATCATTCAGAATGGAAGCAATAGTGCTGTTGGACAGTACATTATACAACTGTGTAAGTATTGGGGTATAAAAACTATAAATATAATTCGAGGAAGACAAGAAGATGAGAAGGAGCAACTTGTTGGACATTTACAAAATTTGGGAGCAGATATAATTTTAACAGAAGAAGACAGAAAAAAGGGAGCTTTAAAAGATATATTGAAGTCATTGCCAGAGAAACCTAAATTAGCTTTGAATTGTGTGGGAGGAGATAGTTCAGCACATCTTGTAAATAGTTTACGCCAGAAAGGAGTAATTGTAACATATGGTGGTATGTCCAAAAGGCCAGTAATGATTCCTACCGGAGCCGCCATCTTTAAACAAATTACTGCTCATGGGTACTGGAATACAGAGTGGATGAAAGATTATAAGAATTCTCCAGAGAGAATGGAAATGATTACAGAATTGTGTGATTATCTTGATAAAGGCATTATTAAAACACCTAAAGCAGAGTTATTTTACATCAAAGACTTTAAAACTGCTGTCAGTGAATCTCTGAAAGAATTTAAAACCTCTAAAAAAGTATTAGTGATGGATGAAACTCTGAAATGTTAAAAAGTGAAATAAAAAAATGTATCTTTGTTCTTTCCTCTGACACAGTATTAAATGTCTAGCACAGCTCTTTTTTCTGAATATGATATGGTATACCACCTAACTAAAGCTATTATCCTACATGTAATTTAATTTTCAGGCTAGAGTTTTACAAATTTGCCAGAGACGTTACGTTAAGTCTTTACCTGTGAGAGAAGAGTAAAAAATTTATTTCTGAATGGTGATAAATGATATGATACATTACTTACTGAAATTGAAAAGAAATCTGTTTACACCCTTCCTTTGAGTAGGGCTCACAATTTTGTGGAACAAAAAGTAATTTGAGGTGATGAACAATTAATCACTGTTTCAAATTTTTGAAATATAATTAAATTCACAGCTTTGGGGGTGAACTGAAATCAGTATAGGGTAAAGTCTGTCTACACCTGTATTGTATTTTCATTGTGATTGCAGAGTGCACTTCTCTTCTTTTGTCATGGAAATTAAGTATTTCATTTTGAATGTTTGAAAGATTATCTCAAGTTTTTCAGGAAAGCATAATAAAATTTTTCAAATAGCATTTTCCACTTTTATTAGAAACCAACCATCTGAATCTTTGTATCAGTATAGATAATATTTGTGACAATTTGACAATTTTGTGCTACATTTTTCCAAAAGCATGTGGCTCAAAACTATATTATGCAGTCGGTTAGAGTAATTGAAGTAAAGGGACAGGTTCATCATTTTCGGGAGTTGTTTCGGGTCTTGAATATTTGTAAATAGTCTTATAAGTACATAAATGTAAGGAAATCACATAACTCATTCAAGTATACCTCAAACTAGGAATTTAATTACCGTATCTATTTTCCTGTATTTTCTGTATATGGCATATGGAAAAAAAAATGAGTCTTTTTTACATCTGCAATTTCTGATTAAAATCAGGTAAAAACTATAGTCTTTATTGTGATGAAATGTTGACAGACCATCGGACAAAAATGAATATCTCTATATTTACCATCTGTTTTGACTTAATGTAATTTGGTCCCAGAAATAAATTCAAACTACAAATTATGAAGATCTTTAAAATGCGAAAATTCGTATTTTAGTCACTAAAGACTTTATTATTATTTCTCACAGCTGCCAGTGTGCATATTTTACCTTGTCATCTTTTGTTTTTGCTTTTGAATCGACCAATCAATATTTTTGAGTTGATAGAGGTTTGAAGCCATCCATAATAAAATCCCAAGAGGCTTTCCTGGTACCCTTATGGTGTTTTTTAGTATTCAAAAGGGATACTACTATCCCAGCTAGATACTAGACTCACCTTTTACACAAGGCATAGGCTAATTTTTTCTCAACATTTTTGCTTGGACTTTAAGTTAATTTTCAGTCCATTAATTTGGTTTGACAAGGAATGAACATGCAATTGCCAAGGAGGCCTACTGAACAAGAATAAAGAAAGAACAATGAGAAAACTACTGGGCACTGTTCCGTTAATTCAATAAATGAAAACATAGACTATTTTCAGCTGATTTCTGCACCTTACAACAGACATCATTCAGGCTGGTTACGTTTGTGATTATATAGGAGTTGAACTGGTTACATTATGTTGAAATCCAATATGGCTGCGCCCATAACATACTGTAAACTGAAAGTAAACTAAAGTTTTGAGTTTGCATTTCATTTTCCTTGCTAGAACAAATTATATTCCCACAGCCTTTTTACTTCAAATATAACTGTTTATGATTGTTTAATGGAAAAGATAGCAGATATTATCATTGTTGGTGGTGGAATTAGCGGAGTTACTTGTGCACAAACGGTATGCTTAACCTAAACCCCTCTAGCTAGGCCAGTATTGCTGTATAATACAGGACAGGGTCTATGTGTTAGACTACACACTCTGTTAAAATTTGTGTGACAAATTACTACATTGAGCTCTGAATTGATGTGTTTCTCGGGCCCATAGAAATATGAGGTTCAGTGATTTTTCATTTAAAATAGACACACTTTCCTCCAAAAAATTCTTGTGAAAATGACTGAATATTCCCTCTGTAAAGTTATTTTTACAATTAATATATTTTTCATTACCGGTAGTTGACATTTTCATCAACCCAAAGGCGAGCTAAGTCTGTCACTAGTATTTTGTAGTTGGAATTTCAATTCATAGGAAAATGATGGTCAAAATTCAATACAGAAAATTAGTCAGAGAGTAGATCCATAATAGAAACAATTATAGAAATATTTTTGATTGGTTTCATACTGTTCTAGATGTGTCTCTAGTTGACAAAATGTAGGGCTGGGCGATATACTGGTATCATGATAAATAACGATACAGGAATTTATATTGTTAGTTATATCGTCTTATTAAAAAATACTGAAATATAGCCATATCATCATATATTTTAGTTACTATGACAAATCTTCATATTTTTGTCCAGATGAGATTATCTACACAATTATAACTAGTAACTTAATATTTGAAACAAATGTTTTTAATGATTTGTTTTTTGTTACCTTCAAAATTTTTAGATAATGACAAAAACCCATTTTGTTTCAAAAACCTGTAAAAGCCTTTAAATACTTAGTATATCACGGTATATTGATGATGCTTGATATCCACTTGGACCAATATCGCCCAAACCTAATAAGATGTGTTGCTTTATTATTCAAAAAATGTCCTCATCTAAAATTTATAGAGAGATATAACCAATATTATTTTTAAGGTTAATGAATTAAATCCAGATGTCACAGTTATACTTATTACTGCTAGTCCTTTGATCAAAACAGTTGTCAATTTTAAACAGGTGTGTACAACAGATACTTTGAATCAAAGTGTTTATTAAGTAATTTCAGACACTATCCAATCTATATGATGCAAATAATGCTAGTAACATTCTCTCTTTTATGACAAACATCTATAAATATTTTTTCTAATCTAATATGTCGAAAGCATACTTATATGTATCAAATGACTATTAATGACATTGATCTATTTTGTATATAGGTAACTGAAAGAATAGAAAGTTTTCAAGTTGAAGAGAAGAATAAGAGTTATTTAGAAGTTTCATGTATTAATATTGAAGTTATTGATGATGTAGTTACAGAAATTCAATCGGAAAATCATGTAAGTTGGCATCTTGAGCTAATTAAGTAATAATCTTCTACTTATTTGATTTGGCTATAATGTAAAGCATAAATTTTATGTCGGCTTAAAGGCTTCTTGATGTGAGAAAAAAACCATAAATTCCACATGCCTACGTCATGATGCTAGAACTATATTTTTTCATGTAATATGAAATAATTACTGATGCAGATGTTTACTGAATGATTGTTATTGTTTATGTATAGATATTGTTTACTGAAAATGGTATGAAGATGAAATACAAGAAGCTTTGTTTGTGTACTGGAGGGAGACCCAAGGTAACATTATTTTATTTTTTTTTCATAAAAGGATGTAGATGTAATATTTTGATCCCTGTTAAAGCTGCCTTTATCAATTTTCAGAATGAGAGTCTGACATTATGTTGGAATGAGAGTCTGACATTATGTTGGAATGAGAGTCTGACATTATGTTGGGCTGTATGACAATTCATGCCCACATTTTTGGAACACTACACTAGATTCCACTTGACAACTGTTGTGGACAGTCGTTTATCAACCAGATTTCAAGCATTATTTTTCATTCCAGGTTATATCAGAATATAACCCATATGTACTAGGTATACGAGATACGGAGAGCGTTCAAGAATTCCAGAAAAGGTTAAAAAATGCTAAGCGAATAGTTGTTGTAGGTAATGGTGGAATAGCAACAGAACTTGTGTAAGTTTATCCCTGGCGTTAGAGTAGAAGTAGATTGAAACTGTTCTGTTTCCAAATGTTTTCAGGATGTTGCAGTTTGCTATGGAATATATATCAGTTTATAGTTGTAATATCTTACTATCATATAATGCCTTCATTTCAAAATTCTTCTTTAATTTTTTTTATATTTATCAGATATCACATGTAAACCTACATGCTTCTTATTCAATATAAAAGTTTTCATGAAAAGTTGAAGGTGATCTTATATTTTTCCCTTTTTAGTTGGTTGGTAGCTTAAAAGTTGAAGGAATTGTAAAGGGGTTTTAAAACTTTGTATATGTATTGGAGACAATGTTAGCATCATTTTACACCATTTTCACTTAAACTAAGCATTTTATGAAGTCACTATTGCAAAGGACCTTGTATAATTTAAGCAGATTTTGTGAGAGTGACATCATCAAATGCTTAGTTTTAATGGAATTGCAGAACATCTGATAGAAAAATGGAATGGTGCAAATCAATGCTATCAGTGACAACGATACACATTCAAAGTTTTGAAAAACACTTTATAATCCTTTTAATGTATACTGCCAGCAGAAACAGATAACAGATAACAGACCAACCTTTGTTCCCTTTGATACTGGATATAAAGCTCTGTACTGTTAACTAATAATGCATATATTAACAGTATATGACTATTTGTAGATATGAAATTGAAGGTTGTGAAGTAATATGGGCTATCAAAGATAAGTCTATAGCTAATACATTTGTTGATGCTGGAGCTGCTCAATTCTTTCTCCCAAGTATTAATAAAGATAAAACTAAAACACATGAACCTCTAAAAAGACATAAATATACAATAACAGGTATGTATGATTGCATAAATTATATCATATTGCCTAAATGAATGTCATCTGTTGAGCCAGAAAGATTCAAGCTTATTAAAATGGTTATATACATCTAGGTTTTGTCATTATATTATATATGTTTTCATGATAATAAATAGTATTACTTTAATATCTTGATTATTATTTATCTTGTTTATAACATATTTTGATTATTAAATTAGATGAGGAGACAGCCAATAGAACAATAAATGGAGGGGCTCTTGGTCCAGATTGGTCTCTCAATTTGACTATGGTTGGGCTGAAACAGGTAAATGTCCTTTAAATACTATTTATCAGCCAAATTCATTTTCTGTTCTCATGATTCTTTTTATATGACTGACATATTAATTCACAATAATTGTAGAATTCTTTCTCTTTTTATTTTTAGGACTCACATAAAGTCCATATAGAATATAATGTTGAAGTTAATAAAATTTTGACTGCCGCGGAAATGTTAAGTAGTGGTAAAATTGAAGAAGAACCACCAACTTCTAATACAGAATGTCAAAGTACAATTGTTATTCTTATTCAATTAACTTTTATCATGTATATGTAACTTAATCCAGAGCCTCAGACATGAATACATACAGGGCCAAGATTGTCAGGCTAGTATAATATGTGTTTTAAGTATATATTATACTATACTATGCCTCAATCAATATTAATGCAGTGCCAAAATACATGTACTTAATAAAGAATATAGTGCCTATTTCCCTACATCATTCTCGACAAATCAGGTCAAATACTTTACATTTGCAGGCCACTCAAAATGTTTCAAAGGAGGAAATTGAATTTTTCATCTTACTTTCTGGTTTCATCATGAATATGTCAATTACCACATAGAACCTGTGAGCTATATGGTGTACATCTAGTGTACATTCTTATAAATCAAGTAGAATAATAAGAACTGATTGTGTTTTAGAATGTGATAAATGGCCAGTATATATTGAACTATCTAATGGTAAAGTATATGGTAGTGATGTAATAGTTAGTGCTACTGGTGTAATACCTAATAGTCAACAACTTCATACTGATAAACCAGTAAGTAGCATATTATTTAACTCCACTGGAATATTTAGTAATTACTGTACAGTTTTATGGAATACGGATCAAATTGTGATGAACAGGATTAGGCTCTACATTGGTATTACCAGTTAATGATTTTCTATCTGGGTTTAGCAGATTTACTCATCATTGATCACATTGATCAATCCGATTTCCAGAAGTTAATTAGATAATAGAATTAGTTAAGAACTGTCTGTCAGTGATCAGCATCCTTCATGGCTATAAAATGAATGATTTTAAATACTAAATACCTAATGTAATTATTGTTAAGGACAATATTAATCAATATGTATTTGAATAAATTCCAGTTTGACATTGGAGAAGATGGTGGTATAAAAGTCAATGATAAAATGGAGACTAATATTATGGATATTTATGGTGCTGGTGATATATGTAGTGCAAACTGGAAACCATCTAAACATTGGTTACAGGTAAACCAAATAAGAAGTCTTTTATTATTATCAGTGTTTGATCATACTACTGATATGAATCTTCAGTTTTAAGATGCTTAAGCTCTTGAATAGTTCTTCAAAAGAATTAATTTACGTTTAAATATAGGCCAATCTGTAGAAATATCCTCAAAATAACTGTATGCTGCATTAAAATGTTCATATAACAGTTCAACATGTTATCTCTTTATTTCAGATGAGATTATGGTCTCAAGCTAGACAAATGGGATGTTATGCAGCAAAATCAATGTTAGCAGATTTAGATAATGAAGAAATTACTTTAGATTTTTGTTTTGAATTATTCACTCACATGACAAAGTTCTTTAACTACAAGGTAGGTATGAGAAGTAAAATATCTGAAGTTCTCAGACTATTAAAGGGAGAGTGTTGGTGTCAGCTTCATAAAGACAGAACTTTAATAAATCTGAATGTTTATTCTGAAAATAGGTTTCATTGTTGTAAGTGTATATCCTTAGTAACTAGGACTTGTTTGGCAACACATGCATATTGTTCATATGATAAGACAATTAAAATCTTTGAGAGATTTGCAATTGGCAGTATGAAAAAGTTATATATTTTTCATGTTTTAGGTAATACTTCTTGGTAAATTTAATGGTCAGAATTTAGGAGAAAATCAAGAGATATTATTGCGTATGACAGAAGGTACATGAGACTATGTTATTATGTTAACAAGGGACTAATTGACACTAAATTGTGTTTAGTGCTGGCACATATAAAATATTCTTTGAAGAGAGCTTTGTTTGTTATTGTCACACATCTCTCTTGAAATTTGACAAAATCTTTCCCCCGCAACTATCTTTATTAGAGCATGTCACAGTTATTTAGTGTTAATCAGTCAAGATGCATATCAACTGAAAATAAAAAGGAGAAAAAGTTAGATAAAGTCTGCATTTTCATATCTATATCCTATATATATGAGTAGTGCTGGCACGATATATTGGTTGATGTATCACAATAGGACATACCACAATACCTGTATTGTATCACAAGGTTGTGTGTCAATTCTTAATGATGCCCCTCATTTCATAGAAAAGTTTATTTTTATGAGTTGATGAATGGAATCACAAATTTTTTCATTGACATGATTTAAATTGTTAGAAACTATTTATAAGACAGTGCACGTTAACCACTCTTGTCAACTACATTACCAAATATCACAGTTACAAAGTTATAAATTAATAGATGTTGCAGCTTTAAAAATGTTAATTTTATCTCACGATATGAATCTAATCCGTATGAATGTAACTATGTTTCATCTATGCTGAAAATTCTGATAATGAACCCAATAATGTTTCTTGTGACAAATGTATATTTTCGCTCACATGTGTAATTTTTTCTGTAATTGTCATGAAAATTTGTTTTTCAGGTGTAGAATATATTAAACTTATATTACAAGACAGTAGATTACAAGGTGCTATATTAATTGGAGAAACAGATCTAGAAGAGACATTTGAAAATTTAATATTAAATGAAACTGATTTAACATTATTTAAAGATCAGCTATTAAACCCTGGTATTGATATTGAAGATTTTTTTGATTGACCCTATAGTGATATTTTATTATTTATTAAAGTCTACTATTTTTGTTTTTGGATTATTTTTTGTGGTGCCTTACTCCTACATCATCATACATAATGATTTCCCATTTCATGCAAATTAACTGATAATACTACGCAATGATGACTATGCAATAACTGTTTGGAGTGAAATGATTAGTTAATGTAGTAAATTATTCGATATGACTATTTTCTATAGCTCAAATCGACCATTTTAAATTTCTATCAGTGTGGTTACTTTTTATCAGTTTCTATATATAACTCTATGGTAGATGACAAGTTAATGCCAGTATAGGTAGGTAGATGACAAGTTAACGTTCGCTTCCAGCTGGATGCTGATAGCTTTCACAAAAGGGGGGAGAGATGTTCTCTAATGTTTCTGCGATGAAACTTGTTAAAGTGATTGGATATAATTAAAAAGTGTTAAGAAACTTTGATTAAAAAAAACTTAGCCTATCTGTTCAAGACAGATTTGGTTATAAAATGGAAGACTAGTTCCATTATCGTATACCAGTGGTCCGTGGGTGGAGCCAAAACATTCTGTATGGTTAGTGGTATGCCGTTGGTTTCCAGATACTCTAGTAGTGGCTTACGAGCGGGTTTCAGTTCAGTGCATTGAATGAGGATATGCGACCTTGTGGCAACGTGGCCGCAGCGACATTTAATGGCGTTGAACTGATGGTCTCGTAGTACGTTGTTGGTCCGGAGTCTGGTTGCCACTTTGCAGATGGCTACACATGGATGGTTTGGTTTGGTTTGGTTTGGTATCTTCGGATCAATCTGGTATCTTGCGGTGTCGAGGTTCCGTAACATGTCAGACCATTTCTGGTTGATCCTAGAAGATACGATACTGCAGAACTCCGAATAGGAGTATTCTACAGGCTCGATATCCTCCAGACTCAGACTTTCTTTGGCACAACGGTCTGCTTGATCATTGCCAGGAATGGAGACGTGCGATGGAACCCATACTAATTCAATCTTCTGGTTGTTGTTGGTTTGGTAGTTGTGGAACGCCAGTATACAGGTCTATGCTTTTTTATACTCACTGTAGATTTGGTTACGTTTTAAAATATATTTAGAGATATCACGTGACCAGATCATGTGATTTAAATGTAAACAATTCAAAGTTTCTCCAAAATTTTAATGAACTTTATAGTAAGTTCTCCACAATGAAAATACCTTGGTTTTTATGTTTGGTTGTATTCTTGTTTACTGAAACATTATTAGCTATTTATCCTTTCCAAAATGTAAGCCTGTCATTTGAGGAGAGGACTGATGATCTTGTACAAAGATTAACATTAGATGAAATAGTTGTTCTTATGACCAAAGGAGGAGGGGGGAAGTATGGTGGGCCTCAGCCAGCTATCCCTAGACTAGGTATTAAGAAATTTCAATGGGATTCTGAGTGCTTGAGGGGTGATGGCTATGCTGGTAATGCAACATCTTTTCCTCAAGCAATTGGTCTAGCAGCATCATTCAGGTAAGATAGTGATATATAAGTGAATATTTTTGTGAAAGATATTTAAGTCTCCTTGTCATATATTGTAGGCTAGGCTTACACATATAATAGTGCTTGTGAATTAAAACAAAGTATTTCATTTGATGTCATATTTTTTTTAATTTCAGTAATCCCTTAGTAATAAATCCATATTTTAAATGAATTATGAAATTGTTATCGGTCCATAAATTGAAACTTGTCGAACCTTAATAAAATTGCTATGATTTTAGTACAGGTATAATTCAGAGAGTTGCTGATGCTACATCAATAGAAGTACGAGGTAAACATAATGATTTTGTAAAACATGGAAACTGGTCAGATCATACAGGATTAGGATGTTTTAGTCCTGTCATTAATATCATGAGACATCCATTATGGGGCAGAAATCAGGTTGGTTGTTGATTATAATTTATAGTTTAAGTTTTTTGGGACCTCTTAAATCAATGTTAAATTTGAACCAACTATCCTTATGATGTAATCAGAAACACATATAAAATGACCCCTTTTCTAAAAAACTAGAAATGGGATGCATTGGAAATGAAAAATATTACTAAATCAACTATGCGTATGATTGTCTCAAAAATCTTTATCTGTACACTTGTTATGATTGCAAGTGCTCTTCTTATATCTAATAATAATAAACTTGTGCTAATTCTTCAGACAATAGTGGTCTGTCCTTGATTATGTTTAAATAAATGCATTAATATGACTTACTGTAATTTCACACTGAAGTCTATTACTTCAGGAGACATATGGTGAAGATCCCTATTTAAGTGGTATATTAGCTAGGAGTTTTATTAAAGGTTTAACAGGAAACCACCCTAGATATATACGTACTAGTTCTACATGTAAACATTTTGATGCTTATGGTGGACCAGAAAATAAACCAGTATCAAGACAGACTTTTGATGCCAAGGTTAGCAATTCTACTAAAAATTTGTCATTTGAGAGTTTTTGCTAACCATATTAAACTTTGTTATATTTCTACATCATAGAAATATATTGTCCTTCTATGACTTAAACATGTGCATAGTAATATCATTGTCTAATATTTTCAACAAATTGAATATGATTATGATTATGCATGTGTTCTAAAGGTAAGAAGAAGTTACAATGTTTATAATCAAAATGTAAGGAATTTCAGCTATAACAAGCCTTCTGTGAAGAGTTTAATCCTTTGTCAGTATGCTGCAGCTTTGAATACACAATAAGTATATTTGTAGGTATCTGAAAGAGATTTACGTACAACATTTTTACCTCAATTTCAACATTGTGTTGATGGTGGAGCATATGGTTTAATGTGTAGTTATAACAGGTAGGTTATTTACCATCAGATGACATCTGATACCATTTATTGCCACCTACAATACTACAGTTAAAATCAAATGCTTTTCTAAACAGCTCCAAAATGAATTTCTGAACATCTATACTGAATGTTTGGTTACCGCTTACAAACTAAATACATAGCAGATCAGATCCCCTTCAAAGCAATGGCATTGTATATGATATATTGTTTTAATTATTTGTTTATCTTGTAAACAATGTTTATGGATACTTTATTGTAATAAGTATTTAATTTAAATTGATTATATTTATGCTAGGCCAGAGATTCTAGAGGAATATATATCCTACAACATCTAAAGTCAAAATAAAGACAATGACTTTGGTAAAAACTTCATTTCTTTTTATTTCAGTGTAAATGGGGTGCCTAATTGTGCCAACTCACATTTTATGACTGATATACTAAGAAAGGATTGGGGTTTTAATGGTTATATTATCAGTGATGCAGGAGCTTTAGAATTCATGTTATTTTTTCATAAAGGATATTTTAATACCACATTACAAGCAGCAGTAGGCAGTGTCAAAGCTGGATTGAATTTAGAATTAGGACCAGGCGGATATAAACAACATGTATTTGATCAAATTAGTGAAGGTTTGAAGAAAGGATTGTTAAGTGAACAGTTAGTTCGAGAACGTGTCAGACCTTTAATGTACACTAGAATGAAACTAGGAGATTTTGATCCAATTCAGATGAATCCATATAATTATCTTAATACAAGTGTTATACAAAGTCAAAAACATCAAGATATCTCAATTCTAGCTGCTGTTCAGTCCTTTGTTTTATTGAAAAATGATGGGTTATTGCCCTTGACAGAAATGATTGGAACTCTTGCTGTAAGTTCTGTACATATTACAATTGGTATTGAATAATGATATTTACTGGAAGTTTGACATATTTTCAGCCTTCTACAAGGTCTCTAATAAGAAAAAATATGATTTGCTGAAACAGAAATTGCACACAAAGCACAACATTTCGTACATAACCTATTTAGTTGTTGTCATAACTATTAATGGAATAGGTTTTAGAAACTAGGTTATCAATCAACATTGTTATTGTCTGTAATCATTCCTCATGCTGATCTTTAATTGTTTACATTATAGGTAGTAGGACCAATGTCTAATAACCCAACTCAACTTTTAGGAGATTATTCAGCTAATGTTGATGAGAGATTTATTTCCACACCATTAAAGGGGTTATCTACCCTTGGTAAAGAAGTAAATCATGCAGACGGATGTAATATGACATCATGTTTACAATATGATAAAACTGAAATTATAACAGCTGTGAAATCAGCAGATCTGACTATTGTTTGTCTTGGTACAGGTAGGTAAAGTCAAGCTAAGATATTCATGCACATACTGATTCGATTCAAAATCAATGAGGCCAATTTTATGTACATAAATTATGTAGTATTAAACAAAATATATGTCTGTCTTGTATGGTTTCAATTATTTTATGAAATACCCAAGAGCAAAATTGAGTATTAATTTTGAAGTTTTGAATCAGATCTGGAAGTGCATAAATATCTAACTAAGTGTTGAATTCATTGATGTATAAGCTATGTAGTCAACCATGAACCAGCTGGCAAGGTCTGCTTAGTGAAGCTGTTAATGCTGACAAAGATTATATCACATAACACCCTTTATTTACCTCATGCTTCTTATGCATTATCATTGAATTATCCTAAGATATTTTATTTTAAAGAATAACAACTAAAAGCTATTCTGTGTAAAAGTAATTTAATGTGATGAATTGTTTTATAAGATGATAAATTGGATGTAAGACATAATGAGATATTTGTGTGTTGTACAGGCCAAGCTTTAGAAACAGAGAATGTTGATCGAACTAATCTGAGTTTACCAGGAAAACAACAAGATTTATTGAAGGATGTTATAAAACATAGTAAGTCATTATACATATTTTCCAGTCGACACATTTCTAGAGCTTGTAGAACAGATCCTTATTATGCTTGTTAAGAATGGCTGTTCCTTTCCATCTTTTTTCTAGTAATACATTATATTGTGATTACATTGTTATCACTGTTCTGTGTATTTTAATTACAAGGATTAATTAAGAATTCTATATTTAATGAAATTTTCAATAAAAGGATCTTAAGAGGTATTTGGTGTCGGTGAAGGGCAATATACATTTCACATGGACTTCATGAAATTAATGACAGCACAGACATAAGGCCTTCAATTTCTATGATACTTAACATAATAAATGATAAAAAGAATTGTTTGATATATTTTTCAGCCAAAGGTAGAATATTAGTATTAATATTTAGTGGCGGACCATTAGATATCAACCAAGCTGTAGAATCAAACAAAGTTTCAGCAATATTCCAATGTTTTTTCCCTGCCCAATCAACCGGCATAGCTCTATATAGGAGTATTAAACTGGTGTCTCCTGTTGATAACCCTGGAGCTAGATTACCTTATACATGGTATCATGATATGTCTCAGGTATGGTTTAGTTATATAGGTAATTTGGGTTCAAATAGATTTAATATTAATGCCCAGTACTATATGATTAGTATTGAGATAATGGTTGTTTGTTCTATAATGAAAATGACAGGTACAGGTATCTGTGTGCAAATGGTGGAGCTTGATTGGTTAAGATTCTGCCTATTCCAATTGTGAATCCAAAACGTGCAGAACTTACCAAATGAGCACCCCCTAAGACTTCATTGGATATTAACTCCACTATGATAATGTTGCTAGTGAGTCTGTAAGACTAGATGCCATTTGACAAACATTCATCCCTTTTTAAAAAGCTAATTTAATATATGAAAACTTATGATAAAAATATGGTATGTTTTTACTTCAGGTACCTAATATGACAGACTATACTATGACAGAGAAAACATACCGATATTTTACTGGTAAACCATTGTTTCCATTTGGTTATGGTTTATCTTACAGTAGTTTTAAATACAGTAATTTAGAAATAGATCCACCAAGTATAACAAGTGGTAGTAATGTTACAGTTAGTTTTATAGTAGTTAATACAGGACAATATGATGGTGATGAGGTACATAATTATATTTTTTTATACAGTGTTTCACAGGAATACATAATATTAAGGGGAATGAATTGAGGCACCTTTAGAAGGCCAAGAACTGTGATCTTTCTTTCTGAAATAATGTCAAAACATTATATAAGTAGGTTTTGAAATGCTTAAATTATATTTATAAAGGCTTAGATTCAGCTAGTTGTCTGATGCCATTTCTGAGGTGTTATTTAGCATTATTATTGTAGCATAACTCCATAACAGCTAGTAGAATGAAAAATGAATATAAGTTTAATTCCAAATCAAATTTTGTAGTTTATCTGAAATGACCTTCAACTTAAATGAAAATAATATCTATCTTTGTAAGCTTCTAGGATTTCCTTCAGCCATCAAGGATGGTCACTTGAATATATAGATGATGAATTAAAGGAAATACAATGACAGGTTTGTTTCAGGTTTGTCAGATGTATATATCCTGGTTAAATTCTACAGTAATAACACCTCACTATCAGTTAGTAGGCTTTAAACGTGTACATTTAACACACGATCAACCTGTTAAAGTGGTGTTATATATATCATCACAACAAATGGCAGTATGGATTGATAATAAAGGTTTTATTGTACAACCAGGTTTGTTGTAGAACTTCTTGTTTTGTTTTATATAATTGATGTATTTATATTAGTTGATACATGTCTAATCAAGATGCAGATCTAAAAGTTTTATTCTATGTATTTTTCTGTGAGTGACTCCATTTAATTATATCAAATTGAAAGAAATTTCCACCTCAGAAATATTTAACTAATTAAATACTCAAAAACGCATTGTGAACCTCAAGAGGAATTTTAGATATGCGTTGTTTAAGCAATGTCAGCCCACTTTTAACAGTGCTTTTCATTGGTTAGCTTGTTAATATATGATAATGAACAGGTAAAAGTTTGATATTTTTCTTTAATCATGGATTTATTATGAGTGAAGTCACAGAGTTTTATATATAATGATACTATACTATATAATGTTTTTATTGTAGGAATTATAAAAGTTTATGTTGGAGGTCAATCACCTGGTCATCAAACAAGTATAACATCAAATGAATTAGTCGGACAGTTCACTATTACATAATACTACTTATCTTTTATGTCTTTTCATGTATATAAATATTGTTTTCTATATAAACTTTATTTCTTCTAAAATGAGTCCCTTTATTTTCAAGTTAGAATTACAGGTAGTAGTAATGGAATGGACCAGAAAGTGTACTTATTCTGTCTCTACTTCATTAGACTTTGTTATGTTTCTAGTGTACGTTTCTCTAGGAATACATGCGTGTGAGTTTGTCAGAGAGTCTTTTTGGCTGAAAATGTATATTTGTATATTTAAAATACACTGCAATCTGTATTTAGGTGTGGGCAATAACATCTTTTGTCCTATATTTAAAATCGAAAGTCATCTTCATAGTCGAAATTCATCACAGAAAAGGAATATGAAAAAATTCTGTGTCACATAGGAGAGATCATCCAAAGTTTTCAAAGTAAGAAAGAGGTTGGCATTAATTTAGCACCTCCATTGTCCAATCTCTACAGTATTGTTGTTAAGATTGTTAACTAACTACAACATTGCTTGTATCAGCTAAATATTAAATAGCAGGATACAATCTTTTTGGAGTAGCCATTGTACTGTACTATGTAAATGAAAACCAGAAAGAACACTTTATAATTACTTTAACCTGGGGAGAAAGTTATTTTAAAATAAATTGAAATAACTAAGATTGTTGATGCTGAGTTGGATTCTAATAGTTTCTATCTTATCACCTTATACAATGATATAAAATGGAAAGGAAATATATAATATAATCAATGGGAATTTTGTCATGTGGTTGTCAAAAGATAAGGCAATAGAAAGGTTAGTGTAATTCCTTGTGTTTAACATGTGGAGATATATCCTTGATTGTGTTTTATTTGTACTATTGGTAAATAAATTTATGTTTTGTTGCATGTTTTATCATTTTATTTTGTTTGTTTATGAATAATTAAAATCTATTTAATTTCTAGTACAGTAATATTAATGGTGAATTATTAACAGAACACGGTGATTTAATAGATTACGTTGATAAATGTAATCCTAAACATCATAATTCATGTGGTGGTGACAAATGCTGTTTAAAAGAGGTACATATTTTTTTATTACTCGTTTGGTCACACTGGGAGATGACTGAATTTCAATAGGAAGTGAAAGAATTAGACAAATAATCTTAACTATTTGGTTGGATGCAAATTAATAGAATATCCACATAATAGACACTTTGCATGTTCAGAAGCAATCCACATGACTACTCCACATAGTGTACAATATAGCTTTCTTGCAGAGAAATTTCATTAATTCCATGAATACTGATAGTGAATCATATCCTTCTTATTAGTAAATTATTTAGAATAATATTTTGTGGACATAGCTAAAATTTTAGCCATTCAAATGAGATGTGATTAAACTACTAACATGGGATTAGGATATTACCTTTATCTTTTCCTTCTTACAAACTTGAAGATAGATTTTGAGAAAATATTTCATGGACAAGTCCGCATCATTTTTTACCATTAAGAATACCGTTATAATATTTTGATGTTATATTCCAAATATATTAGATACTGTGAATTGTCACTTAGGTTCAGAATAATACATACACACTGATGTGCCTACATCTTCAAAATGGCAAGCTATTACGAGCTTTGTCTAATTCCTTGACGGCAATAGTCACCTTTCGACCGGATTTTAGTAGGCCTCGACATATAGTCTGCAAACAGAAAGCCATAATGTGTACAGTCTTTCTGTCAAGAGCTTTAATTGGCTGGTTTCCTTGTGGTGCAATACAATCGAATCGCTGCTTTCCGTGATACAAGAAACATTCATGGTTTATAACAGCTTGACATTGTGAAGATGATGTGATTTGGGAATTTCTAATTCTTACTCGAAATAATAAAGTAAACGCTGATCAGTTGTATTTTATTTCAGTCATTAACCTACACTCCAGAAACAGCTGTAGGACCTATGCCTAGATATAGAATCAGTTGTCAACCTCGTGGCGTAAAAGGAAAACCATGCTTTGTTCATAAAGATAGTGTAGAAGTCTGTCCATGTGCTAAGAATATGTTTTGTGTTCCTGGTGTATTACATTATCTTGGTACTTGTTATCCAAAATAAAACAACTGTATTACAAGTTTTATGCTTTATTATTAACAAATACAAATATTATTTATGCAATATAATAGAATATAGCAATATTTGAGAAAGAGTTGGGCTCTAAGATAACAACTTGAAATAGACTTGGAATGTTTTTTTTTTTTCAAATCTTGATCATCTGTCCAGATCATTATATTATGTACTGTAGTATGGTTTCAAATTTTTTACTCTGTGGAGTTGAAATAATAATTTCTCAGTCAAACTTCAGTCGGTAGTTCTACAAAGCTTTACTATTCGAAAGCATATTTGACCGACAAGTTTAGATAAAAAGATGCCAGCCAGGGGTAATGTCTATTCTAAATGATGATTTAATGGAAAGAAGCGAAAATCATTGCCCATTTCATATTACCTATCGGGCACCAGTGGCTCAACAAGATGAGTGGACTCAAGTGGCCTATGTGGAAGATTTAAGGATTTTCAGTCTGTAGTTAATCACTCATTTATATATTGCTCGTTGCTTAGTTTGATTAAAATTGTGTACTTTGGTAGGCTACATTTTATTTCAGGCGGTTGGGGCCCATTGACTTGGTTCAGTCCCCATGGTAGTTGAGCCACTGTCAGGCAATTTGTCCATTTAGTTTTTAATACATTTTTCCTTCCAAAAAAGCTACTTCAATTTAGCAATTAGTTTCAAGTGAAAAGACACGATTGGCAGAATATAAAACAACATCTTTTAACTTAAGCAAATATTTTAACACTAATTGTCCATGGACAATATAAAGAAGAAGGATTTCTAGTGCTCAAACGATACAGATTGATACCATCTAAAACTACCGTATCTTAATTTTGGTAACTCGAATTTAGATGGTTTCATATTTCGGAACCAAGGATGTTCGATTCCAAAATATGTAACAGATAACACTAAATTATCGGCTTAAAATGTAGAATTCTGCGAAATATATTTAAAGAAAATAATAAGTTCAAAAGACTCCAAGGTACGTTTCCTAGATTAATCTTCACACACAAAAGCAATCTATACAGATTATAATTCCCAACGTTACCATAAATGGATATCCGTTTCGTCGTTTGAGCACTAACAATCGCTACCCTCATATCACAGTCTGCTTGGATCATAAGTTATTAAAGGAAACTCCTGTATGTAACAGCGCCTGGTGCTGAATGATAGGTTACGGTATGTGGTGGTCCTGCAAAGGTTGAATAATGTGGAGTTGTTTCATAAGTAACACCAACAGGATCTTGGCGATAGGTAACTGATCTAGGTGTGGTGGCATAAACCATAGCTACTGGTTGACTCTCATATGCCACTTCAGCTGGAGAAGTAACGTACTGTATACCTGTTGGTCTGGTATAATATTCTACTGATGTACCAACATTCTGATAGGTTACATGAGTTGTTGGAGCACTTTGATAAGTTACTACATTAGATAGATAGGGAGAACTGCTATAATATCCATACATCTTGTTTCTTTTGTAGTTTATTTCTTATTTCTTATTAAAAGTTCACAATAATCACTATTAGCCTGTTATTCCAATATGTAAAATTCACATATCTCTGAAAATATAATATTTCACATCATTAGCAAAAGTAAGTTAATCAAATGAAGTCCTGAGTTGTCAAATTCTGATATGATTAATTATCTTATATCTTATGATATAATTATATTATTATAGTATAGAAGACCCTTTATTGTGATCTTTTATAATAATTTAGTAAAGTTAATGTATGATAGAGAAAGCGCTGTTTGGAGTGGATCAATTGAAATATTTATTCAAGATAAAAGATGTGCGATGTCTGTACTAGGCCTAATTACAAAGTGATGTTTATAGGATCATTAACTATGCTGATGCAAATATGGCCAAACAGCAGCAAATTTGTAAGCTACATATCCAATTATTTATATCTAATATGTTAGTGATAAATATCAGATCAACATTCAATTCTGTATTGCGTCGAAGAATTGTGTCAAACCAATCGAAATTCGTACAGGAGTGTCCCTTTACTTATGTACCAGTGGTCTAAAGAAAGATATGATTTATTGTAGATTGACTAGGCTATTGTTTGTTGTCATGCCACATTAAACATATCACTTATACATTTAGATTTTTACTAGTACAAAATGGCGCTATAGATATATTTAATAAAAAGCGAATATGTTGACCCTTTTATGAAGTCATTTCTCTGAATATAATATTATTTCTTTGCCACATTCAATTTTTGGAATAGGACAAAGAGCTTGTTAAACGATCGGCAAACTAATTGTAAGGTCCTGTTAGATGGTTGGATCTGTACTGCTTAAATCATAATAGCAAATTCATTTCTATAGCCAATATATAGACAGGGTGAATTAATGTTTCTCTCTTGGTGGGTTTTTGTTAATATAGATCTAGATCTGGTAATGTCGAATTTAATTTTTCAAAGATCACCCAGGCCCGTAGCCTGACTCCTGGTACTCGTGCAATCGAAGGGGCAATTTAGCAAAGCACCTTCACAGACGATTAAACGTCGGGAAACTGACTTTCACGGAGTATGTTAGATTCGGGATTATTTTTGTTAAAACACACAAGTTATACGTTACATTTTTATTGCCGTTTTAGTTTTAACGTAGTCGGGTATGTTGTATGGCAAAACTTTGAACAAATACGTCCAAGTTAATGTTCTGGATATGCTTCCTGTTGAAGGCAAGAAGAACAAGATTGCGCTGGCGAAGCTGAGTCATAGATCGTCGTTGTGGTGAGTCAACGCGAGTAAGAGTTGAAAAGCTGCTTTCACACACAGCGGTATTAAAACCGAATGTGGCAACGCTTCCAGCCAGTGCAATTAATTTAGGGAAAGGCAATTTCTGCTCGTATAGTTTTTGAAGAACAAGATTGGAGTCCTGCTTTTCTGTCTTGGAAACGTTATCTTGTAGAAATTGTTTTGACACCTCAAGTTCAGCGACAGAGGGAATTTCTACTCCAATCTTGGATAACGGTGTCAGAGCCGCCAGATCCAAACGAACTCAATTGTATCAAATTGTCTATTCTAATGTAATTAAATTTAAAAATGTTATGAAAAGCTATGATGTCTGGTTTAATCCTCAGCTAAGTATTAACAAAGAGATATTTAAAAACATTTCTTAAGTAGGCCTACAGATAGGAACACTTAGTATTTTGTTGAACCATTTCGCATAACGCAGCCCTGAAAGCCATAACCTTATTTTTCGTTAAGTAAAAGAGCAGCTGACTGGTGCACTTACTCCACCATAAAATGCCTGACCAGAATGACCACTGTTGGCCATTCACTCAGACTTAGTTACCTGTCGCTCCTATTGACTCAGGAAAAAGAAAAGGTGTATTTTAAAAAAGCGACCGCTGCATTTTTCTAAAGGGAGGGGGGGGGGGGAGTGGGGCCCCCCCCCCCCCCCCCCCTTGTCTACGGGCCTGAGATTACCCCTGGCATGTCCAAAACTTGTTGACCCTTGCCAGCCTCATTTAGATTGAACGGTAACAGTTGAGAACCATCACAAAAATCTATCAAAGGCTGGTAAGAACCAATTAACATTTTTCTGCTTCTAAGTAGGGGTTGATATTTCCACACAACTACACATACAGTTTTCACATAAATTAAAATGTTTTTTTTCCTGAAACGAAATTTGTAATATTTGGATACAATTAGTCTTGAAATTTAAGTTTCATGACTGTAGTATGTAGTTTGAGTGTGTTCTGTGAATTCAGATGTCTCGCCTGTATGCAATTAAATAACCAAAACATCTTTCTTTCATGTCGATCAATGGGTTCTGGACGTCCAGAGGTCTCCTAGATTGTGAATGGCGCCACAAGTTGTTAAATTTGGTTTTGATTTTAGCAAAAGCTGGCAATTTGTTTGTTCTAGTTGACTAGTCTTTCACTCGGGCCTAATATAATTATAAATCACATGATCATGTTGGTTTACAAGTAAAGAGTCATTATGTTTGAATTTTTTTCACTCAATTTCACTCAGATTTAGTAAAGTGAATTATCGGAATTATTATAATTTATGATGGTTTTTATCAATGATGTCCTGACAAGCTGTTGTACTTTTACACGCCTACGAAAGAACCATGTCCATCTATATTGTAGTGTTCTGTGATCAGAATCCCCGTTCTCCGAACCATATATTAACACGGTCATCTTTGCTGAGATCTTTATTTTAAATTTCTTTCTCTGGTTTTGACCATGACATTTTATGTTTATGACTTTTTATGATTATAATACTTCATTTAAGTTTAATATGATTTTGACATTTTCATAAAAGAAAACTTACAGTTTTGCTAATATCATCTCATATCTCCTTTTAGACTGTTATACTAAATCCGCTTCAGTTTAATATCGCAACCAAGTGTAAACAATAATCTATGTTAAATACTTATTCTACAATTTGAGTTGCGAGGGTAATATTCTATTCAATACATAAATACGTCACAAATCGTTTATTGTATAGATTTCTTTGTAGAAGATATTTTCAATGTGTAAGTCAATATTAGAAAATATATTATGGTGTACCATTGTCATTTAATATTTCTGTTTATATATAAAGAGTAGCCTTAATATATATTATGTTTAAAGATCCATCTTAATAATGTGTGACCTGAAAAAATGGTTTTATGATATACACTGATCATACATCGTTATCTGTTATCCTTCAGAATAGGATATTTTGGATAAGATGTTGACGATAACAATTAGGGCTATCATCAACACAATACATTTTTGTTCTATATTTTATTAAAGATTTTGTTAGCTAGGGTTCCCAGGTTTGGCGTTCTTTGCAAACGAATAGAGCTAAGAGATGCCATGGTTCAGCCCTCCTGAAGTATATAAGCCAAGAGATTTCCGTTTTCCCCCCAAAAAGATTTGTTACCTTCTTAAAAATGCTTTAAGTGACCTTAATCCAAAGAAAACGATACAAAAATAGCAACCTCATTATTACTTTTAATCCAAGATCATGATAAAGAAAACTGACACACGAGTCCCGTGAGTCTCAGTCATAACAAGAATTTAAACAATGTTGTCTGGTCGTAGACAGCTTAGAGCACTTTTTTTGTCCGATGTCTGTGGCTACTACAAGTATAAGTTTTTGCGATTTGCCAGAAGTACAACGCATGTCCCAAGGGTAATTGGATTAACTTGAGAGGTAAGGTTGTCTTTGTGTTTCGTTTAAGCCATATACAAAACTCGTATCTCAAGTTAAACGATTTTCTTTTCTGAACAATTTCTTCATCTCAAGGGAAATAACTTGAGGTAAAATTCAACATAAAGGTTAATATCAATGAAGTAGGTCAGTGAAATATCAACCTATGAGCACTGAAGATATCGTTGGACTGATCAGTTATTAAATGATGAAAGTAGCAGGTTTCTTTTTTGTCGTGATGTCCATTCTATAAACCTCTTTTAATTAGGTAAAACGTTACTTTGCTTCAAGA